TTATTGGACAGCTAGAGCTAGGATGTTGATCTGTACAGTCAGGGATGTAAATGTAACTTGTTTTATTGTACCCGTACAGTTAATGGCTTTGACCTGTACAGTCAGGAATGTAAATTTAAGTTATATAATAGGTTCGGTTCAGTTAGGGATGTTGACCGGTACGGTCAGGGATGTAAATGTACTCTGTTTTATTGAACTGTTACAGCTAGGATGTGGACCTGTACAGTCAGGGATGTAAATTAAGTTATATCATTGTACTGTTACAGCTAGGATGTTGACCAGTACAGTTAGGGATGTAAATTAAGTTATATTATTATACTGTTACAGCTAGGATGTTGACCTGTACAGTTAGGGATGTAAATTAAGTTATATTATTATACTGTTACAGCTAGGATGTTGACCTGTACAGTCAGGGATGTAAATAAAGTTATATCATTGTACTGTTACAGCTAGGATGTTGACCAGTACAGTTAGGGATGTAAATTAAGTTATATTATTGTACTGTTACAGCTAGGATGTTGACCTGTACAGTTAAGTTGTAAATTTAAGTTGTTTTATTGAAATGTTAGAGCTAGGATGTTGATCTGTACAGTTAGGGATGTAAATGTAACCAGTTTTATTGTACCGGTACAGTAAGGAATGTTGACATGTACAGTCAGGGATGTATATTTAAGTTGTATCATTTTACCGGTAGAGTTAGGGATGTTGACCTGAATAGTCAGAGATGTAAAATTAAATTGTTTTATTGTACTGTTTCAGTTAGAGATGTTGATTTGTACAGTCAGGGATGTAATGTAAGTTATATTATAATACCAGTACAGTTAAGGATGTTGACATGTACAGTCAGCGACGTATATTTAAGTTGTATTATTGTACCGGTAAAGTTAGGGATATTGGCCTGTACAGTTAGGGATGTAAAATCAAATTGTTTTATTGTACTCATTCAGTTAGAGATGTTGACCTGTACAGTCAAGGAGGTAGTTTTTTCTGTTTTTGTTCAATTTTGTATGGGTGTTTGAATGCTCATTAAATTTAAGCCGTTCAACGAAATGGTATGAAACTTTGAATTAAATCAATTTAAATACCATTTATGAATATAACACTATTTTATCAAATTATGGAATAGGGCCGTTTCGGACCCTTCGTGGCCCTACTCCTTTATCCCTAACTGCACAGGTCAACACCCCTAACTGTAATAGCACACTAATATAACTTAAATTTACATCCCTGATGGTACAGGTCAGCATCCTAGCTGTAACAGTTCAATAATATAAATTAAATGTACGTCCTTGATTGTAATAGTGTAATAATGTAACTTAAATTTACATCCCTTATTGTTTCAGTACAGAACGCACCGCGGTACGGTTAGGTCCTTCCGGTACAGGCAAGTACCTGTACCTGCGCAGATGTACGCTGACAGACCCTAATCGATTCTTCTCGATAAGTGGTAAGTATGCCAGGCTGTCAACTGTTCGCAATTATAGAACATAAGTTGTATATATTTACTTTAATGTGAATGATTTTGTTGGCAAACGGTACCTTTAAGATGTTATTATGGTGGAAAAATGTAAATTTATGGGAAACCGACACCTTTCTTTCACGTCTGTTTTGTCCGTTTTCAGTTTGACCCTTTGGGGTATTTTTTTTTTTTTTTTTTACAAAAAAATTGTTAGCAAAACATAATGTTGTTTGGGGTGGTTTTCGAAATTAACAATTATTTTTATCATTTTACACGTGTTTTTATTGTAATGCCTATCAGACGAGTATAATTTATCTATAATTCTCCTACATCCAACATGCTAGAGCTACATGTATATGTAATGAAGGAAAAATTAACTGCATGAAAATACAGATTATAGTGATAACAACCAAATCTCCTGTACATATGAATTATTTAATAATGTTTATGGATCCCGAATTCATAGAACTTTGTTTATATTGACAATATTAGTTTAAACATGTACAATAACATAAACATTTCCTACAAAAGTCGCCGGAAGGGGTTGTGGGGGTGTTTGCTGGTTGATTGCTTTGAAAAATTCTCTGATGTTATAGTAATAGACAGTACCTTAATTTTGTTTACAGTAAATATAGAAACAAATCTTCAATTGCAAAAACAAACATTATAACCCCTTTTCCTTGTATTTAAATATTTCCCAATGATAACGATGATTCATGGTGAACTGTTTTAGCAATCCACCATTTATCGGAGGGTATCGTGAAATTCAGTAAATTTTCTATGATATTGGGAGAATGTTTAATTTTCAAATACTTTTTATTTTTTCCATGTTTTGGGTGTGCTTCAGTGACACAAAAAATACATGGTGTAGCCACTGCCACACCCGGTATTTTAATGGGGGTACATGCCACTTCAATGGAGATACCTACATGTATTCTGTTATTTTTAACAGACCTGTATTAATTTGTATTCGCATTTTTGATTACTGAGGGATTTTTCAAATCACAGGTAATGTATGCAATCATTTTAAACATACATGAATTATTTATGTGGTTTATGATTGCATAATTTAAATGCTGTAGGGCAATTAGTATGCGTAGCTTTTGTACATTCAAACATTCTGCTTTCTTTACATAGCAGTAAATTCAGAATAGATTAAAACTGGATCTAGAAAGTGATGTTGTGCGTAATAAACACGTCTATAATCAAATGATAGGCCTATTTATCAAAGTTTCAATCACGCAGGGTCAATATGCCTGTTTACCTGAAGTTGACACGTTTCTTCCCTTCAAATTTGGTCTAGATACGTCTTTGTGCGGTTTTAATTATTTAATTAGTATTCCCGATAGTCCCAGGCACACACTTGTTGTGTTTTCAATAACGATATGCTACTATTGCTTCAAAGTAGTAAATACAACTTTACAAATGAAACGATGACATTGATAACGGGTTTTAGATTACCCCTCATGGGGGCTCCATCGCTGCATCGGACGGCGAATTATCATCAATATCGTTATATATAACAACAACATATAGATAGGAATACTACACGTGCATCATATATGAACTTTGAAAACTATTATCTACGTAAAGTATTGCTGTCTTGTCTGCTAGTTGAGTCCGACATGGCTGATAGACGGCGTGCTATTGTTGATATCTTCACTGCCTCGCTTTCGAAACAACCACGTGACATATATAAATATATCTGTGCTAAATTTACGCGGGGCTTCCCCGATAATTCAGTGGTCAAAACTGGACATTGCAAGCAGAACTCGACCATCATATTGCCTTGGTTTAACGTTTGGAAGTCCAGAGAACGCATTTAGACCCATGTATTGTGTAATGTTTTCCCCCGACCAGCTCCTTTATGTTATGGCTTTCTTATTTCTTTTTATCTGAAATTGATATTCATCCTTGCACTGCATATTTAGTTACGACGCAAACAATATATAAAGAGAAACTGTTTTATTTGAACTTTGTTTTTTTTTTATTTTTAATACATTTTATTTAAAAAAAAAAATGTACTCATCGGTTAAAGTCCAAAAGTTTGAAGTAAAATGTTGACAGATGAGCCATGTCAGTCGTCAACAATCTAAGACAGAAACGACACTGGTACAGTACAGTCCTGTGTTTGTCCGGAGACTGCTATAGTTATAGTAGCGTTGTCTCCCGGTTCCTCGGGTTGGCTCACTTCTACCAGAGCTGTTGTGCTGACCGGATCGTCATTTTCCCAGTATGGTACCAGTATAGCCATCGTGAGCAGGTGATGTAGAAAGGTGACACTGGAAAACTCTTGTGTAAGGAATAAGTCCGCCTTAATGGTTTGTATCTTGAACCGCCCAAGGCAAAAATCTGTAAGTAAAACGAATATATTATATACAACATTAAAGTTATACGATTTCATTTTTTTGTAATCATGATTTTTCATCAAAGGATCTCTATCAGGCGTATGATAAGCACATTATATTGTCATTTTACGAAACTCACGTTCAACTTCTATGACTGTAAAGGAAATTTCTGACAAATGTCTGTTTACGTTAAAACTAAAGGTTTGGCTAACATCAATGGTAGACATTTAAGTATACATGCGACCAACGCATATAACGGAAATCTACTTAATTTGATGTATGACTCTATATTCAACTCTTTTTCTGTTACAAAATATCAGAGTTATTGATCTTTGTAACTGCATTGTCGTCTGACTTCCAAAATATATTATTATCAGTTATCATCAATTAATGTTTTACAATTACGAAGTAAAATATTACAATCACATCAATGACTAACGTGATTCATGGATAGTAACATCTATGCATACGTCATAAACGACAATGAGCCTCAAATGCTGAATCTCCTATGCAGCTCATACAACCGAAATCTATTTGAGATCCTTAAGGTACAAACACACTAGTCAAACATTGCTTCTTTATCTGGTACATGATTTATATATACCACTGCTAAACGCATATAGACAATTTCGGAACTCAAACTTAAATCCGACATAAAAAGATTAAAGCCGGCAAGCAGGAAAATGACTTTTTGTAAGATCACTGTATACGTCTCGCTAGATATAATAACACTTGATATGTCTCTCTTAAAATAACTTAAATATAGGTATATAATTTCATACTTACACATTTACTGACGGTATTTTTGTTATGCCGACCATCCGATTTGGGTTGCACCAGGAAAATGGTATGTGTTGTCCTTACTCGGGTTTAAAACTTACAGTTTCGTGTACAATCAGTCATGCATGTCAGCATTAAAACCTAAAACCTATTGCCATAAATATCTGCGAAAAACAACTCGAGCCTCAAGTGTAGACTCTGGTAAACAATTATTTTAATATCCTCTATATATATGTATATACATGACAGTATTAAATGTATATTTATATACGATTTTTTGGACAACAAAATGTTTTCATTTAATAATATTCCTTGCGGGACCCCACAGTTGTGTTCCCCATGTGAGCCCCTGCTTCAGAGAAAAGGACTGATTTCCATTGGTTGAAAGGTCTAAGGCTAAAGGGCCCCTTGGCTCCTAGTACGTTGACCCAAATCATTAACCCCACAGCCTCTAGCTCCGCCATTTTAAAAAAGCACAGAAAAATTCTACAAAACGAAGAAAAGGAAACACTATTTTTGAAAAGATTCAAGGAAACACCGACTACGATTTACGTAGGTGAGTAAGTATAGATCAAAATCGGGTTTGCCGAGAGTCTAGGCTATATATAGGATTCTGTATTGTACCGATCACGCGTCTTTGTTTGTAAACAAAACACACTTGAATTGAAGACAAGCATTTGGTGGTCGATTAAGTGTCTCATGACCATGGCGGATGCAGGTAGGGATGTTGTTGTGCTGAGACATAGCTTAGTGAAACGTTTAGAAAAGTACATTATGGAAGGGAATCGAAAGAATACGAGTTTATCGGTAGATCGAGTTCATTTTCATGGCGTGTCGGGGGCCAAGGTGGGAAGGATTCGGGCATATCTACATAAGGATTTTATGATACATAAACAGGTCAGTGTTTGTGTTTAACAAGTGGGAGGTAACGATATTAGCAGTCCGACAACAAGTGTGGACGGGGTGGTCGATTCCATTAAGAACATTGTGCGGTTGTTGTTGTCGAAGTACCACGTACATCATGTTCGTGTCAGCAAGTTATTTCGCATTTCATAAGGATGACTTTTCAATAGCAGTGTATAACGAAAGGGTTGCTCTTGCCAACGAACTTTTGCTAACTAGGTTAGATATTTCACCGGTGACAGTTTGGGACCACAGTAAAGAGATCTGAGATGTGTTTCAGTTGTATTTGGACGATGGTGTTCATTTCGCAGAAATGAAACCATATTACCGTTCACTCCGGGGATGTATCATCAGGGCATTGAATTTGATTAAAAAAAGTTAGAACGTGATATCAGATCATTACGTCTTTATTACCCTAGGGCACGATCAAGTCTTTATACGGTATAAAAAACTTGCAGAAGTCTGTTTTATTTCTAACGGTTATCTCCCTTGGTACGAGGAAGTGATTTATCAATTTCTTTTATGTATAGACTTGTACTGGGTATATATATATGGAGTGTGTAAATTTGGTAGTACGGGGCACCTGTTAATATTGCCTTGTGCATATACGCCATTATCTGTTTAATTACAGAGGTGTAACATTGACATTTTGCTTCAGTTCTATATATGGAAATAGATGTCCATATGAAGTAACCAGAGTTGTGGGCTCTCTATTCTCTATCAACTATCAAATATATAGTTAAATGTTAAGACAATTTTGGTTGACAATACCAGTAGTTGCCTAAATAGCCATTATATCAGAAATTTATTAAATGCGGGGCCATTTGAGGTTGATAATACCTATAGTTACCTACATATACACTATACCAGTATTATAAGAGGCATTTGAGGTTGAAAGTGCCTATATATCAACTCCATGATAATTCATTAATTAGGAGCATTGAAGGTTGAAAGTACAACAAAATTCTTCAAGGCATTTGAGGTTGGCAATACCCGTAGTTGCCTGAAATATCAATTACAATATATCAGAATGATTAAATGCATTTTAGGTTGACAGTACCCGTTGTTGCCTAAATTGAATATACAATAAAAATCAGAAGTCGTAAGGGTATTTGGGGTTGACAGTAACCCATAGTTGCCTTTATATACAATATATCAGAATTCTGCAAGGCATTTGAGGTCGACAATACCCGTAGTTGCATATAGATACAACACATCAGAATTCTTAAGGTCATTTGAGGTTGACAATGCCCGTAGTTGCCTTTATATACAATTTATCAGATTAGTATTGGCATTTGAGGTTGTCAGTACCCATAGTTGCTTTTATATACAATACATCATAATTATTAAGGGCATTTGATCATGAGGTTGACAATACCCATAGTTTCCTACATATCCAATATATCAGAATTCTTAAATGCATTTGAGGTTGATATTAGAATCATTTGAGAAATGAAGCTAACAGTATATCAGAAATATTAGCAAATATAGGAACATTAAAGAGCCTATGGGTAAGTACTCTCTGTTGATTTTCCATGATTAATGTTAGGGCATTCAGGGCCTTAAAGATGTTGGGTTATATAAACAAGTTTAAATGAATAAGTGAAATATTTCTGATATATTTTTGTATCACAGATATTTGCTCTCTTTTTACTTCATATGCACCTTAGGTTTCCAACATCCAAAAAAAAGGCTGCAGAGGCAATTGACTTAGTTGGGACGAGGGGCAAGTCAAGGAAAAGACCCCCAGCCACAACAAATAGAAAGCTATCAGAAGAAGATGGAGCAGTGGCTGATGCAGAGGGCGTACACATGCTTAGCATGACACCACCTGACATGCAAAGCCACATCAAACAGGCCTATGAACGAGGCTCGCAGGAAGCTCGGGCTCCGGAAGGGAGTAACACTATTGGTGCCTCATCAGTGGCCACAGAAACTGGTGAGGATAGAACTACATCAGCCAGTGGACATCGAACTGCACCCTCTCATCCGGAACCTGTCATCAGTGATGAGATTGGGGGGTCCTCGTCCACTATGTTTGTACCCAGCTCACAAATAATTCCAGCCAATAGTGTTGTAATGACATGTGAGGGTGTTGAAGTCTCATCATCACCCCCAGGCAACGACCAATTTCATTTTGCGTCAATTTCATTGATGGATTTTGTCTCAGACAAAGTGAAGGAGAGAATATTGGCCAACAAATTTGTTGACCTTGCTTCCATCACGGACAAGAACCAATCCAGTTTTGAAATGGTGCTGAAAGTGGATGATGATGAGTCGCCATCCCGCCATCCCTACACTGGTATAAGAAAGAGCCTTCCAGAAAGAAACTTTCGACAGAGACATGGACGAATAAATTTACCATTTTCACAGCAGTGTACTGTAAGAAATACCCTGATGCAATCGAACAGTTGCTAAAATATTCATCCATTATCAGGGACCTTGCACTAAAGCAGGCTGATTGGGTATACTATGACACCATGTTTCGGGAGCTCCGTTGCCATAGGGAAATGGCATGGGATCTAATTCATATGGAACTGTGGCATGAGGCTATTTCTCGCCACCAACAGTCCGCACATACCTCTTTTCTAGCATCTCATCAGAGCAAACCTTACAATACAGGAAAAGGCCCTTTGTTGGAAATGTATGAGGGGGCTACACTGTGGAGGCTGCTAGTACTAGCATAAATGTGATACGTGTGGGGCAAAACATGCGGCAAAGGACTGGTCTATGTTAGGTTCCATTTTCCACAACTCGGAGAGCTCTGTCATGCTTTTTGCCCCAAATTATTTTCGTGGATTTAGAGGCGGTGGGCGACCAACAGGTAGATACCAGTCCGGTCAGGGGCGGTTCCAATCTTTCAGGGGAAACGGGGCTCATACCCACGACATAGTGTCACCCGTTAACCCAGATGCACTGGCTCAACTACTGCTAGGATATGACCCAGATAAAACTAAGTTTTTAGTATTCACTTTGAAGGCGACACTTCTGGTAGATCCTGCAACAATCTCAAATCTGCGATCGAAATGCCAGCTATTATCGACCAAAAATTAAAAGCAGAATTGAATGCTGGTAGACTTGCTAGCCCCTTCAATGAAAAGCCTTTTACAAATGTTCATGCTAGTCCATTATCGGTTGTTCCTAAAAAAGATCTTCGAAGGATCTTCGAAGAATTCAGCACGGCACTTGAGTGGGCAGCATATAGCAAACTTAAGGCAACAGCGGTAGTTCATTTACTTAATGATTTTTTGTTTATTGAAGAAAATGCTGCAGCATGTAGCTTAATTCTTTCTGATTTCCAAAAGATGTGTTCTGGTATTGGGGTCCTTTCGGCTAGGGAAAAAACCCATTTGGTCCTGACCAAATCATGCCTTTCTTAGGCATTATTTTGGATGCCAAAAACATGGAGGCAAGGCTACCCGTAGACAAACTAAAACACTGTTAGGAATATTGTAGGGCATACAAAACAAAAGGTCACCCTTCGAGATCTGCAATCATTGATTGGTACCTTCAGTTTGCAACATCTGTGGTATAAACAGGGCGGGCCTTTTTACGCAGACTTATTGATCTTACAATCAACATTAAAAAAACATATCACAAAATACGTCTTTCATCATCTATCAGAGCAGACCTCTCAACATGGGAGTTATTTTTATAAGAATACAATGGGTGCAGCTCCTTTTTGAATGATCACTGGGTGATATCCCAAACATTAAAGTTGTATACAGATTCCTCATCAACCATTGCTTTTGGGGCAGTTTTTCAGAATTCCAATCTGATTAAAATCATCTGTTACATGGCTCCGCCTGAACATCTGAATGTGCCGCGGTCAGGGTCACGTTCAAGTGACCTTTAGATGAACCAATCAGAGGCGCGCTGGCAAAAGTTTGCCAGCGAATCGGAATACCATGTTTGATAGATAAATAGCGAGGGGAATCGAACAGATTAGTTTTCCAAAACAAATATGGCGGCGGGAACTGACGTTTCTACGACGCCAAGGAAAACGTACCCATTGGGTAATAATTGCGTATCCAACATCGCCATACAGTCGTTCTTCTCTAATAAAGCTTCGAATATCTTTTTCTGTTCGGGTTTCAGACGATCAATCTCAAATAACTTCAGAACTTTCGCATCATTCTCATCAATGTCCGACATATTTGTTACAACTCCGAGCGCCCTTTTGAAAGAGGGTCTCTGATTGGTCAAAATTTAATGATTATTTATAAATATAAATGTCACCTGAACGTGACCCTGACCGCGGCACACTCAGATGTTCAGGCGTAATACGAAGTTAACGAAGCCATGTAACATATGATTTTAATCAGATTGTCAGAATTCATGGTTTAATGGTCAGTGGAACAATGAAGCAAAAAAGCACCATATAACTACTTTAGAACTTTATCCTATTCTTGCAGCATTGTACTTGGGGACATACATTTAGAAACCAGGCCTTGTGGTTATGTACTGATAATCTAGCTTTAGTTTATATCATAAATAAACAAACGTCACGAGACAAAGTTATCATGAAAATGATTCGCCCATTAGTACTATATTGTCTTCATAATAACATACTGATTCGGGCAACTCACATCGAAGGGGTCAAAAATGTTTTAGCTGATGTCTTATCTCGTTTACAGATAAAACGATTCAGAATATTGCTAACCACTGCGGACCGATCGCCCACTCGAGTACCACCTCAAATCAGTCAGGACCTGTTTTTCAAACGTTGAATGTACTTCTGAATTTATCACTCTCCACTGCATCCCAAAAATTGTACAATAGATCTTTGCAGCTTTTCTCAGAATTTTGTTCTAATTATTTGCGAATGGCTGTCCAGTTACCAGTCAACCAAACATAGCATTATATATCGCTCATGCACATAATTTGAAATTTGCCAATAGCACCATAGCCTCGCATCTGTCAGTTATCGCATATTGGCACAGCCTACATGGGTTTGCTGACCCAACAAAGTCATTTCTAGTCAGAAAAGGATCCAGTCTAGCCCCCACATGTGATATCAGGTTGCCAATCACATTGCCAATCTTAGAGCGTTAATGCTCTGCAGTCCCGACAATTTTGAATAATGTTGTCCAACAAAATTTGTTGTTGGTGTGACTAGATACAAAGGCCACATCTTTCGCATTAAAGGTGCCTCCTATGCGGCAGCCAAAGTTTTCACAGATGCACAAATTAGGTTATTAGGGCGCTTGAAGACAGATGCATTCAAGAGGAACATACGCTCTCCTTCGTTATAAGTAGAACTGCAGAACACTGTCATGTTGAGTTTGAATATGCATGGCCACATAATAACACAATAGTAGCGTGTTAAGTGGTCTTGGAAGTGTTAGCACGGTTGACCAGCAATAAGGACACCCCCCCCCCCCCCCCCTCCAAAAAAACCCCCCATTAAATTAACAAATGCATACATTTATCTCTAATCAGGCGTGTCACCTAACAAAATTCCCGTTCAACGTCTTTGACTGTAAACTAAATATCCGACAAATTTTAACGTTAAAACCAAAGGTTTTGTCAACATCAATGATAGACATTTAACAAAACATGCAATCAACGTATATGATGTAAATCTATATTATTGCCCGATTTGATGTATAACACTGTGTTAAACTCTCTGCTATTAAAAATATAACAGCCCTACATGCAAATAGACGTATTTATAGAGTATCAGTTATGTAGTATATGCATATTTCATCAACACGATATCCATACATTTGGCTTGACTTATCAATGAGACTGTTTACCGAGCTGGACTAACTGATAAAACAAATCTGCTTTTTATTTTGTATGTTCACATATGTTATTATCACATGCCTAGCTATATCAAATATAGTATCAGACAATCACGATTAAACGATTGTATATTTACGAATCTATCAAAAAGATACGCCTTGTTGCTCTTTGAAGAATTATTTAAAGTGATGGCTATTTGAAAAAGAAAAAGGTTTGGATAGTATTTTTACAAACATTATGAATGAGTTCCTTTGATAGAAAATGTTTATAATATCTAAACATATTTTTCATTATTTGTAACAACAGAGAGAGGTATTATGGATGAATAATGATAATTACGCACAAACAATTAAACACTGAAACATTGTATCTATGGATAATAAAGTGGTAAGTAATGACTAACTGTATCGTTAATGGCTACGTGGCTTCCACTGGCATACGACGAAACAGCAATTTTGTATAACACACGCATCCTAATAATACTTCTTTAAAAGGTACGACATCGATTAAGCAAAAATATATGGTATAATGATTGTTTAATCAAGTTTGACCCTGGCTATGACTGTTAGACGTTGTAAATTACCAAAAAATACGTGTGTACTATACGTGTGTACTATATCTTTTTCGTCTTTGCTAAAACGTAAAGTGGTAAGTGATTTTACCTATATAAGGTGTTTTAGTGTTATTTCCAATGAAAAATATTCGCTTAAGCATGGAAGAATTCAACAGACTGTTTATGTTTTGAACCTAATACTTGGAAGTCGCCAAGCGCTATATCAGGGTAATTGTAACCTTGAACCAGTTTACTTAAGCAAGGTGACGTCACAAGCATGATCGGATGGTATGTCGCATTACTACTGTGTGTATATATATACACACAGATGTGCAGCTAATCCATGAATGAAAAACTTGGTATGCATACATGTGAACTAGCTCAATGGGTTTATTTACAAATTAGCATTTGGGAATTTCCCGTCAGCTACTATTTTATAGTTTTATCAGATGTGCTAATATAACAAAAATAGATGTGATGATTTATCTGTGACTAATTCGTGAGGAACTTTTTAAAGTTCATGTCACTTATTCCGAAACTAAACTGACTAGATATACAAACTTTTCTCGGGTACGTGTAATGAACAGAAAAGGGTCGTGAATATTTTATTTCATGTATGCGTGACCTCGATGATTGTTCAGGACTCAAACGGAGATCAAAACACTAGATTAATTACGTATGTTCCGGCTTCTTGCCGCTACACACCAACCCCATGTTTTCGCCACCTTAAACACCATTATTTGCAACTCTGATTCGAATGTTCCTTCCCAACGGTAACTACAGTGCCAGAAACGAGGTTTGGTAACTTGCACCAATAGAGAAAATACAATGGGACCACACCGCTTTTCGAACCCTTGACGTTTGAACTTAAGGCGGTGCTCTAACCAACTGAGCTAGCTGTCTACCAGATATTGTCCCAGCCCAATTCCGCTATATGTCTACAATGAATTATGCAAATACATTAAAATTTAGTGAACGGCGTGTCGTACAATTTTCAATCAGCGCTACTTATATATATATATATAGGTAAAGCCACTCTTCGATAAAGCAAAGACATAAAAACGTTAACATATTATTGAAGAAGCTGACTATTTTAATAATATTGTTACATAATAACATTCAGAAGTCCTGTACTTTTTTTCTAAATGTGTTGTTTTCTTCAGTGGTTGGTATGATACATTGTTGAGTCTATTTGGAAATCAGTGTTAACGGTTTCATTTCATTTTTCACTTAATCTTGTTAAGTGTACTTCTAATATACCAAACTAACTTTTTGTATTTCGTCAGTCCGAATATTGTATGTTGGCTTTCACTTTGAGTTAAGCTTTTGTTACCTCTCCTAATTGTTACATTGTGTCAACTGTTTATATGCTTTTTGAACGATAAATTATCGGTGGTGTTTGTTCGAGTCTCTTCCCCATGTTATTTTACCAATGCTATAAATGTGTATCTTATATATTACGTCACTACCTTTGGTTCAACATATCATTAGCCTAGCATAATACTCGAACAAATCTCAAGCAATTCATAACACACTCATATCACTGGTAACAGCAGTTGGACGGAGTGGACGCACAGCGTGAAGTGAAAAACCGTATCATCTCGGTAAATTATAACTGATATATAAATGATAGAATGTATGATATACTCTGACGGTTTCAATTTCTGTATGTGTATATAGTAATAATAACTGTTTGGGTTGATTCCTCCATTTACATTTACCTGATGATTTTTTAAGCGAGTGTGTTGATGATATATGTACACAGGGGTATCTAGATATTCTGATGTGGTCTAAACACAAGTTCCAAGGAAGCAATGTCTTCACAACACAACGAGGTAGAGCAGTCCACAGGATTTAAACTTATACACAACCAACACACCCCGTGGAGGTCCCTGTATGTGACACATGTGCACTGACAATGGCGATATCAGCAAAAACAAAAAGACTACATCGTATCAATGACTTTCTTTTCATAAGTGAAAAAGAAAATCAACAATAAGATATGAAGGACGTACATCCAGGACCATATGTGATACATATGATACTATTTTGGTGTGGTTTAAACCTTAAGTTTTTCATCTAGATAATGTATCTTTTTAGTAAATAGAGTAGAAGCCGTTTATGTCAAAGCAATAGATCTGATCCTCAAAAATATGGATTTATCTCTGAACAAAAACTGTTTAATGGACAAAGTATTACATCTGACGAGTAGGGCTTTAATGACAATCATGAGTCATCTGAGGCATAATGTCGGTAGCTTGAATGTATTAATTTCTTAATATAATATAATATAAAATAAATATTAACTTGTATATAAGTACCATGACGATCGAAATCTCTTGATAAAATAAATCCACCCACTTGATGTTAATAAAGAGACCTCCTGATGTGGTGATAATTTCTTGCGTAAAATATTTGAATGTAAACTTCGTCACAGATATCCAAGTTTCGATATCTAAATTTTGAAATTTGTAAAGTAAGGGATTGTAAGCACCTGTCCCTCTGTTTCAACATTAGTTAAGCCAATTTAGAATTCCAATATTTTGGCTCCTTGCATCATAGATTAGTCCTAGAAGGACGAACTGCTGTATGATGCGGTGTAATTCATTTTCGCAAACTGTATTAATTACAAAATGTTAAAGGTGGATTCACCTGGGTGTGTGTCACGTTCATCTTCCAACTCGCTCACATCATTATAACAGTCCGGGGTCCGGACAGACGTAAAATTTAGTTGGAGAAAAGACAACAACAAAGTTGCAATACAGGCAGCTAATCAGCAAAGAAAAGATACAGCAGTAGAACACACATTATTCATACATGATGATATGTAGTTTCAATGTAATAAAATATGTTATTTCATAAAGGAATTATGTAAGCGCGGGCAGATTTTTCATGTATGTAGTAGTAAGATTAAAATGACTCTGTATCTGCAACATTGCTTAAAGATATGAATAGATAAGTTCTATAATGAATAACTACTCGTGCTGGTCGTTCAAGGGGGAGTAACTCGCACTTTTGATAGCTTCATGTGTAATTATATCGTCTATTCATGATATACAAAATGTGCCCGTTAACTGGTGGCAGCATCATATCAGTTGATCAATAGGACATATTATAGGCATGACATAGGAAAAGATCTGTTATTTTGACGTCAAAAAAGAGTTGTAAGTATAAACGGTGACCTGTGCCCATGTACGTACAAAATAGTACGATCAGGGGTTCTTTTCGTTTGTTTGTTTTCTTTCTCTTTTTATCGAAATCCTCATTTGAATCTTGTTTTGAAAAAAAATGAATAAAACAAAACAGCATTCAGTCTGCATTGTATTAACTAAGTCACGTGATGAATCCCTCAAAATGCTCTATCGAAAAAGTGTGATCCAAAACGGAATATGATTATCAACTTTTAAAAGATTTATACAAAGATCATAGGAAAGAATTTAATAAATGTTGATATGTGCGTGTATTCGGTGCTCTGCTTGTGAAGTGTCCGTTTTTTCTAACGGCTCATTAACAGTGTCATTATAATTAGATTCAACAGCAGCAAGACCGTCTAAGCCATGCTAGAGTGCATTATATATCCCACAAGGCGGAGTTGATCAACATGGGTAACAGCGTCGTCCTCAGGTACACCATTGAAATCATTGAAACCTGCGGGATCCGATGTTTTGTTTGCTCAATGGGCCGACACCACTGACCAGTTGTGCTAATCATTCGCAGAATAATAGTTTCTTCCAATGATAATGCACAAGTAACGCAAAAACAATAAATACACGTGTTAAAATTGTAATCAAATATATTATTGTTTTTAAGCGCTTTATGTGTTTGATGCATCTATAAATTGTGACAAGTTATAAATTTGAACTTAACAGAAATGCAATTCAAATCCACATCAGCAGGTTAACGGGAAATTACACCATTACTCATTCAAAGCACCACTGTATACAAACGCCTGTTTAACTTAACTTTTTGAGACTGTATATCAAACATGCTACTAACACCAACTATTACAGCTAAGGTTTATGAGGGAAAAATACTGCCTTGCTGGCATTACTCGGGGACCCGCTCACTAGTTCAGCAACGTCGAGCGTGGTCAGTAGTTGGATGGGCGACCGCCCGGATGTTATAAAACTAATGTGGGGCCCCTTTAAGAATCGGTGGTTTTCTTCTGTGTTTTCCTCTACCTGTCATCTTATGACCCTGGCTGTTGCGAGGACATTAAACCTCAAACAAAAACACATTAGTCGTCTCTTATGATAACACATAGTGATGATTAAGGTTTGTTACGGAGATTGGTTCAAGTTCAAGATTGCAATTATACAACAACACTACAATGATTCCATGCACAGAATAAATAAGTTGTGACATCATGTCATTTTAATTTACAACAAAAATATTTTTTATTTTTTTTAAATGTGACAACGATTTTTATGTTGATCAATCAGATGCCGTGTTTTAAAATCCCCTTACGCATAAACGCCAGAGCTTTCTGCAATAATGACGCTAAATAGAGCATGTCTAGATCTACGCTAATCGTCGTCAATAATTCCATATCATCTGCTCTTACATCTAGTATAATGCTCACATTTCCAATGTCAGAAGATGTTGTTGTAGACTGCTTTTCAAATGTGACAGATAATTTCTTGTTATTAGGCTTGTACTTTGATGTCATCAAAATAAGTGTTCATGTCTACGATCTATAACTGAAAAGACTGCCAACACAGAACCAATGGAAAGACGTGTTATAAACAAAAGTAAAATATTTGGATAGAATCAAGTACTTCCGATTCTCAGATGGGCCTATACAAATCCGGTGACGTCATAAAACAATTCAACTTTTGAACCCTAATTGCAAGATATGATGAATTGTTTTCCAACCTTTTTCGTCAGAACACAAAAGAAACCAAAGTTGATATGTCCCTATTGTTACACTCAGTCTTTTTTTTATCTTTGTGCTCTCTCCCCCAATCAAATGTTTCGCTTAGGTGTTTGATTCCAGGAGGGGTCCATCGTCTTTGAATACCATTTAAGTATGACACTGAGGCTTGTTTTATTTCAACTTCCAGTATTGCGTTCCTTATTATTCATAAAGTAACAAATAACTATTAAACTATGTAAATTGCAATTTGTTTAATAACATATGTATCAAAGACTTTTATATATCAAACATATATCACCAGAGCAAAAAAAAAGAACACCAAGAAATACCCCATATTGACCAGATCAATATATCAGTAAACAGGCTACATATAATATTTTAACCATCCTATATTATGTATTGCTATCGCATTTAGTTTTGTGACATGGAAATACATGTTTGATGTCTATGAGAAAAATATTAAAGATAATAACAAGAAAAAAAATGTTTCCCCATTTGGACACCATTTAACTTGCAATAACCAAAAAGATATATTTCGATAAAAATAGCAATCCATTAAAAAACATGTAAATTCAACCATTCAATGAAAGTTATAGGAATGCAATAATCCGTTAAAAAAATAGGAATGCAATAATTCATTAAATATTAATAGAAATGCAACAATCAATTAAAAATCACAGAAATGCAACGATCAATAAAACTTCACAGAAATGCAACAATCCATCAAAAATCATAAAAATATAGCAATCAATTTAAAAAGATATTTCATTTCGTAGATAAGGTTCATTTATCCATCGACTAACATTAATTTCGCGAAAAAAAACCTTCGTTAATACCAAATGCCATTTTACGATTCATGTCATGTTGTTTTTTTTATCTTAATAAAGTATAATATTGTAATGCTTGAACCAGTTATAACGAGTTTGGGGACCTAATGTTTATACATTTATACAAGGTGATGCCAATGGTCCCTCTCTATGTCTGATTTTAAACTTTCTAAGCAAATGTATAATAGCATTGCAAACACTTTTCAAATACATCATTTACGATTAAGGACCTGTTTATGGGAGTTTTGTAACGGTTCTCGTTATAAATAGAATTTTACACATTTGATCTTAAAAGGGTAAATACAAAAAATGATCAGATCCAAGTCAAAGCACAAAAAAAATGTATTTCCTAGCAGGATCACCTTGCTAGATTAGGCTATTTAGAAATGTCAATATTATTTCGAACTTGGTGATCATTAATTTTCATCATTCTAATGTCCATATGGCACTTTATCTATCAAACCTACCTATTCACCAGCTACCCNCCCCCCCCCCCCCCCCCCCCCCCCCACCCCGTCAACACTGGTCAGATGAGAAAATGTCTTGTTAGACAAAGGTAACATGATATCTTGTCATACGGTAAAGTATACATACTCATCGCCATTTGATCATAGATTTAAGTCAAACTTTTAATGTAGCTTTACTGTTAGATTGATTATCAAAATGTGCCATTCCATATTTGTGAATATTGCCCACGTGGACAATCACCAAACTGAGACATGTTCTAAAGATGTGGGGTTATTTCTAAGATTTATATTAATTCCCAAGATTTGCAATTTCTATTTACATTCCAATATTTAACATATTTATATTTCTAAGATTGAGACTTATTGCGAAGAGTAGACTTAAGTGCAATCAAAGTGCTGTTGGTTTTCCTTTCGTGAACGAAATCCTTGCGAATATGTTGTCGAAAGAGCAAACAGGAAAATAGGTATACGCGAACATTGAGTGTTTTTTTTTCATGAATGCATTCAAATGTTAGAGATCCAGTTCTGCGATAGCATCCATAATGTTTGCGTATGTCAATATGCTTGGTTTCACCTCTTCCTCCAGGAATTTGCTGACCTGAAAAAGAATAGAATAAACATTACATTGAAGTGGTATAATATGTTTTCTGTCTTACGGTTGGTTTATTCTGGGTTGGCGTCCTATCAACAGCTAAGGTAATTTAAGTACGTGCCTCCATGTGTGTTGTGTATGCGTGCATGTGTGCCCTAGCTTGGGGGGGGGGGCGGGGGGGCTAACTAAATTACCTACCCCATTTGTGCAAACATCCCAAATGTTGTAATAGGGGTAGCAGATCAATTGTGGTTTCTTCAAATGTCCCCTTAGCAGAAGACACAGGTGAAAAATCCTAGTCAGCAGTGACCCACCACATTAATCGCCGTTTCCATTATGTAGTGGAATACAAAGGGCCTTCTCTTTCCCCGAACCTATCGTACGGATTCATAATCGAACGTATATATATATGTGTGTATATAAATTAACTAAATAATACTTATCTTTTATGACTGGATACTTCTGTACTGAACGTCTTACTATTTGCAAGTAGTCCATTATTTCACAATGTTATGATGTTTGCTGTACTTGATCTTTGGTGTCTGTACATCTATAGATGAGTTGTAATGTTATCATTGTGTACAGGTATGGTACCTTTAGTCACATTTTCAAAGCAATGACAACTTCCCGAAAGTATATCTCGAACAACTTTTGTTTTTGCATCACACACTAGCACTACATATGACGTAGTTAATTGATGTTTTTACCAAGCAAAGGGCCTCCACAAAATATACGTAACCATTACGGCTGATTGCGCAATCGAGACTGTTGTATGTTGCTATAAATATATTCTATGATTAACTGCTGCATGCTGACAACAATACCTGATTAGTTGCTCGACCGATGAAATTCTTTGGATCCAAAATTTCGTCAATGTTGTTGTGAATGGGGTAAAAGAAGGACGATTTTCTCAGACGTTCCAGGAAGTCGTTTTCCCCACCTTGGTGTTTGACGACAAGTGCGGATTCCTGGGACAAACTTCGGATCTTCTCGTGACATTCCTACCAATACATATAACTAAAAGTTGTCTTAATCTAACTTTTTGAAAACTTGTATGATATGTTTAAATAATTCCTATGAGTGTATAATACATTTTCATTATTAAAAACAAAATATGATAATGATACGTTAATAAAAAAAAAAAGCATTTATGATTTGTTAATATTGTTTAAAGCATTATTGATATGTAAAAATGTTTCCAAAGTACCCATGATATGCAAACAAAATATGAAACCATGTATGATTTGTAAATATAATTTGAAACCATGTAAGAACAGAAAGACCAATAGGCCTACATCGCTCACCTGCTATTAATCTCAAAATTGAACCAAAGTCAAATGTAATTTAAAAAACTACAGGCTAAATATCCTTACCTAAGACTCTTGTTATTGGAAACGTTCTGATTTCTTTAGCACATTCGACCCCTGTGAACTTGCAAATCGAGATAGGCAATTCACAAAAATGGATAACCCTTGATTCCATCATGTGTTTATGGTTATCGGAAGAAGGCGTTTAAACACAGGTGACCCATGTGACCTTGAAAGTAGTCAAAATCATTAATGATCACTTCAATAACATTGACTGTCCTTCTGCATTCTACTGGACAAATATCATCAACCTAGGCCTTGCTGTTCTTCAAATCAAGTCGTTTGCAATTTCGGTTTTTGCATGACTTCAAAAAAAGTCGTTTTTGATCATAAAAATAGATCGAGGTCATTTTCAATCGCAATCTTTGGCGGGCTCCATCCCAGGAAGCTACTCACCAAATATTATTCTGTGCCTTTCTGTTCTTCAAAGAAGTAATTTGATTTTTTGGGCATAATTGACCCCGGCGAACTTGCAGATGAACTGACGTGAAAAGGTATGGAGTCACCTCCCCAACCACGTGGGTTTTCTCCGTGTACTCCAGTTTCCTCCCACATTAAGACCCCTCGCGCGCTGACATCCGGGGCAACAAGAGTGATTAATATAAGTTGAAATTTATAATAAATATGTTGTAAAATAAATAAAGTTCAGTTCATTTGCAAACCTTGTCAAGCTCCACTCTTGGAAAGTACCAGCCAAATAACATTCTACAAGGACTTTGGTTCTTCAGAAAAAGTCGTTTGTTACTTTAATAGCAAGTGAATGTCGTTTAAAGGAAACGTTCACACACGGACGGAGAGAAAGACAACGGACGCCGCGCAACGGCATATGCTAATATGCCCTTCGGGCAGGTGAGCTTATTAGAAAACAAAGTATGAGCAGTAACTATAATTAGAAAGCATTTTACGTTAACATGTTTTGGAATAATGAAATATTTGTAAACATAAAAAGCAATCTCGAATACCTGATTACAGAAGAATAATCTTGTAACTCAAAAAGGTCAGCCTTGAAATGTGATTGCAGCATTAATTTTGATATATATGATAACATTTATATAATAAATAGAACAAAACGGTAACCAAAGCTTTACGTCTTTGAATAGCATTAAAAAGACACAACCACATGAAAATACTTTATCATGTTTATGTGAGATACTATTGTGACATACAAAATATTCTTATGAGACGAACCTGTCTGTTTCCACCAGCCCTGATCATCGCCTTGAGTATTGCGTCCGTAGCCATGAATGGCAGTTCTTGGCTGATACGCCTCTCTATCACCTTCGCAAAAAGAAGTCAAATCATTAACATGATTTATTTGAACGAATTTTGATCTTACATTCTTTACTATTTCATTCAGGTTTTGACAGTTCAAGAATCAGAACCATCAGGTGACGTAACAACATAAATCTCCCTACGATAGAACGCGTTTGTATGTTGTATGAAATGGTGTTACTTGCTGTCAACAATACATAAATAGAGCTTATAATATGACTTTACTGTAGATTTTAATAGAAATCAGATCAACAGCCTGTTTTATTTTTATTTTATTTGATATTGTACATAATTTTCTCGTTGAACACGCTAAACAAATCGTCTGAGTATAGCACATACAAATGTAGTAAAAATTCGGATTAATTTTGTTCTCTATCTACGTTGATCAAAATTTGCACGTGATATCGACAATGATAATTAAGGATTGACGCGTTAGCGCTCCATAAAGAATATGTTCGTTGCTAAATGCGTTCATACTACCTTATTCGCAGTCAAACTGAAGGTCAATTCTTATATTTACATATTTTCCTACTCTGATGGTAAACTCAGAATAAAGCTAACTCCAATACATTTGCTTTTATAATGGTATAAAACCTCCGTAACGTGCGTAAATCCAAACAAATGAACAGCCTACAGCCTGCGAGCAGCGATAGATCTCCAACGTTACCATTATGCCGTCACAATGTAAATTACGTCATCAATAGGAAACAATGGTCTCCAAGGAATCTCACTGCGTATACCGTAATGTATACGCAGTCACGGTTTACACAGCTTCAATTGAGAATCCAAATGTCTCAATTTTTTCCGGAACAACCAAGATCTTTTATTAAACAAGAGATGTCTTAACTCAACTAACATCAGATGCTTAAAGTCAAATGTGCTTTTTAATTAGTTCTTTGTTTCCATGATGTGCACGTACCTTCGGGTAGACCACCAACCCCTCCGATATGTTGTGTAACGTACTTAGAACAATGTCAGCCGTAAGGAAGGCCTCTGCCAAACATACTCTCCTGGAATAAAGGGGACATCACGAGTAATTTCAAAATATAGGGTAAACTGCTTCTAAAACCGACCTGACGTAGTAAAATCGTTTATAGATGTTGATTTGTCGTCAGATTAGTCTGTAGTTAAGAATAGGTGGTTTGTTTGTTGGTTTGTTTGAGTGATTTTACGTCCGCTTCACTACCGAGTATTTTGGTTATCAATTAGACCAAGAAAAGATAGGAAAATTAGTAGGAGGGATAAAATATATAGTGTAGAGATAGAAAAATCATGATAGAGGAGGGAAGGTGCCGTCTATCCTATAACTAAAGGCAGGTTTGACTGTAGCTATATACAGGTGGTGGATGTTGATGGTTAGCCATTAGGACATGACTGATCAGTTTAGGACAGATGGGAGTTATAGACAGTTGGACAAAATGGCACATGTGCATGTCAATTTAAACAGATGGTAGTCATAGACAGGTAGCCATTAAGGCAGGTTTGACTGTTGTTATAGATATGTGGTTATTATTGGCAGGTGATCTTAAAGGCAAGATGAGAAATAGAAACATGAAAAGCATATGCACAGCTACGGTCATTTAAGGACGTGCCTCAATGTGTGTTGTGTATGCGTGCATATGTGCCAGAAACAGGGTATGTTGGTGTTCTTGACTGCTTGTGGTAGCGCTGATCTGATGTCGACTCTATAATGCTATCTCACTGAAATCCCATGCCGAAGGCACCAATCACAGCATCTCGCCCGGTCACATCATACTGACAACGGGTGAACTAGTTGTTGCCATTGACTGCGTGTTGTAGCGCTGATCTGATGTCGACTCTATAATGCTATCTCACTGAAATCCCATGCCGAAGGCACCAAGCACAGAATCCCGCCCGGTCACATCATACTGACAACGGGTGAACCAGTTGTTGCCATAACCCTTGCATTTTCGTATCACGTATAAGTTCTGTTTGTTTTCTTTATAATTGTTTTTGTATATTATTGTACCACTATTAAAACCATATCTATTCCGAAATAAGTTGTTAATCTGGATGATGTTCAGTATGGTTGTTATGTTGCTCGGTAGTTACTGCCCTAGCTACTTTGTATTTGTAATCGTTATTCTGATCCTTTTATAATAAAGTATCATCTTCGTTATTAGCACCTCTCACTTAGAGACAAATTAAACTGATCATTATACAGGAAGTCAAAATGTCTGTAAAAGAAATACTATAAATTTCACATCTCTAACACATGCATTATTATTAAATTCCAGTTATTTGCAGCTTCATTTGGTAGAATTATTTCTTATTGTTTATGGTTGCGATTGAATCTGCTTATATAGTACATCCCACGATTATTTATTAATTAATTCAATGATTTCACTGCGAAGGTCATATCCGGAATGTCAAATGAGCATTACACCAAATGTATGTTTTCCCATCACTTAAATCTCCAGAGAGGGCCTATGTACATAGCGTTTATTCTAACACTAAGAGTGGCACAAGCATATTATTTATGGAACATATTTTAATTGTACATAGGATTACGGTCGCCGTAGAGGGAATTTCCCTTTAGCTCAGTGGTAGAGCGTCTGACTATGATCCTAGTGATCGCGCGTTAAATCCGATGGAAGCACTACTGTCTTTCCTGTTACAATTACATGTGATTACCAATTGCACTAAGTTGGTTCCGTAGGTAGTGTTCCCCTGCCCTACGTAGACAAGTTAGACTTGATGAGTATAAGGTATTTATATATCTCCACATCCGTTGCATTATAAAGGGCGGGTTGGGTAGAGGGTATGATGTCACAATAAGGAACTAAAATGTACTGCAATGTTATACATGGAAAAAAATACTAAGTATGCACTACCATACAACATCACCGCCCTGTGTGAACTACTGACCTATTTGCGCTGTCGTCGAGTGTGCGTTCCATCCACTGAACCGAGGCTGTCATTAGCGGATCCTGGATCAGACACATCAGGTGACGGGCCAGCGCACAGCAACGCTCGCTCCTCATAGGGTTACGCTTGTAGGACATGGTACCAGATGCTGCCGATATTGAAATTATGTAATATTTAACAGCATTTCATTGGAAAACAACGATTCAGATCAACTGTCACACGTTTGATAGGAAATGAACAATAACAAAATACTGCATTGTAAACAATACCGTAATCAGAAACCAAAATCGATAAACAAAGGCGAAACATCATAAAACTGTCGATACGGCGATAGCTACATAAAAGTACAATACACTGCAGAAGTAAATAATTGTCAGTAATTGATTTTTGGTCATATAATATAGCTTATAAACGTCAAAGTTGAGGTATTATTGCACCTGTGTGTGTGTACCAGGTGGTAGACACTGCTGATGAAATTCTTAGGCTTCGAGGAGTTTTGGTAATTTGGATAACAAACGTGATATCTTTAGAGTAGTGGCATTGTGGTACTCATTGTGGTACTCACTGCGGTACTCACTGTGGTACTCATTGTGGTACTCATTGTGGTACTCACTGTGGTACTCACTGTGGTACTCACTGTGGTACTCATTGTGGTACTTACTGTTGTACTCACTGTGGTACTCTCTGTGGTACTCATTGTGGTACTCATTGTGGTACTCATTGTGGTACTTATTGTTGTACTCATTGTGGTACTCATTGTGGTACTTACTGTGGTACTCACTGTGGTACTCATTGTGGTACTCACTGTGGTATTCATTGTGATACTCATTGTGGTACTCACTGTGGTATTCATTGTGGTACTCACTGTGGTATTTATTGTGGTGCTCACTGTGGTACTCACTGTGGTATTCATTGTGGTACTCACTGTGTTATTCATTGTGGTACTCATTGTGGTACTCATTGTGGTACTTATTGTTGTACTCATTGTGGTACTCACTGTGGTACTTACTGTGGTACTCACTGTGGTACTCATTGTGGTACTCACTGTGGTATTCATTGTGATACTCATTGTGGTACTCACTGTGGTACTCACTGTGGTACTCAATGTGGTACTCACTGTGGTACTCACTGTGGTATTCATTGTGGTACTCATTGTGGTATTCATTGTGATACTCATTGTGGTACTTATTGTGGTACTCACTGTGGTACTCATTGTGGTACTTACTGTGGTACTCACTGTGGTACTCATTGTGGTACTCACTGTGGTATTCATTGTGATATTCATTGTGGTACTTATTGTTGTACTCATTGTGGTACTTATTGTGGTACTCATTGTGGTACTCATTGTGGTACTTACTGTGGTACTCACTGTGGTACTCATTGTGGTACTCACTGTGGTATTCATTGTGATATTCATTGTGGTACTTATTGTTGTACTCATTGTGGTACTTATTGTGGTACTCATTGTGGTACTCATTGTGGTACTTACTGTGGTACTCACTGTGGTACTCATTGTGGTACTCACTGTGGTATTCATTGTGATATTCATTGTGGTACTTATTGTTGTACTCATTGTGGTACTTATTGTGGTACTCATTGTGGTACTCATTGTGGTACTTACTGTGGTACTCACTGTGGTACTCATTGTGGTACTCACTGTGGTATTCATTGTGATATTCATTGTGGTACTTATTGTTGTACTCATTGTGGTACTTATTGTGGTACTCATTGTGGTACTCATTGTGGTACTTACTGTGGTACTCACTGTGGTACTCATTGTGGTACTCACTGTGGTATTCATTGTGATATTCATTGTGGTACTTATTGTTATACTCATTGTGGTACTTATTGTGGTACTCATTGTGGTACTCATTGTGGTACTTACTGTGGTACTCACTGTGGTACTCATTGTGGTACTCACTGTGGTATTCATTGTGATATTCATTGTGGTACTTATTGTTGTACTCATTGTGGTACTTATTGTGGTACTCATTGTGGTACTCATTGTGGTACTTACTGTGGTACTCACTGTGGTACTCATTGTGGTACTCACTGTGGTATTCATTGTGATATTCATTGTGGTACTTATTGTTATACTCATTGTGGTACTTATTGTGGTACTCATTGTGGTACTCATTGTGGTACTTACTGTGGTACTCACTGTGGTACTCATTGTGGTACTCACTGTGGTATTCATTGTGATATTCATTGTGGTACTTATTGTTGTACTCATTGTGGTACTTATTGTGGTACTCATTGTGGTACTCATTGTGGTACTTACTGTGGTACTCACTGTGGTACTCATTGTGGTACTCACTGTGGTATTCATTGTGATATTCATTGTGGTACTTATTGTTGTACTCATTGTGGTACTTATTGTGGTACTCATTGTGGTACTCATTGTGGTACTTACTGTGGTACTCACTGTGGTACTCATTGTGGTACTCACTGTGGTATTCATTGTGATATTCATTGTGGTACTTATTGTTGTACTCATTGTGGTACTTATTGTGGTACTCATTGTGGTACTCATTGTGGTACTTACTGTGGTACTCACTGTGGTACTCATTGTGGTACTCACTGTGGTATTCATTGTGATATTCATTGTGGTACTTATTGTTGTACTCATTGTGGTACTTATTGTGGTACTCATTGTGGTACTCATTGTGGTACTTACTGTGGTACTCACTGTGGTACTCATTGTGGTACTCACTGTGGTACTCACTGTGGTACTCATTGTGGTACTCACTGTGGTATTCATTGTGGTACTCATTGTGGTACTTATTGTTGTACTCATTGTGGTACTCATTGTGGTACCCACTTTGGTACTCACTGTGGTACTCATTGTGGTACTCACTGTGGTATTCATTGTGATACTCATTGTGGTACTCACTGTGGTACTCATTGTGGTACTCACTGTTGTACTCACTGTGGTACTCATTGTGGTACTCACTGTTGTACTCACTGTGGTACTGACTGTGGTACTCATTGTGGTACTCACTGTGGTACTCACTGTGGTACTCACTGTGGTACTCATTGTGGTACTCACTGTGGTACTCTCTGTGGTACTCATTGTGGTACTCACTGTGGTATTCATTGTGATACTCATTGTGGTACTTATTGTTGTACTCATTGTGGTACTCACTGTGGTACTTATTGTGGTACTCATTGTGGTACTCATTGTGGTACTCATTATCTGATTTAACAGTAACCAGTACTTCTCTCTCTTAAATTTGTAAAATTCATAAAATGAAGGGGTTTTACGCGCCTCTTTTCCTGTTTCAACAGTACTTAATACAAATAATGATTTCCAACTAGCATCATTAATGAGTCCAAGAAGGACGAAACAGCCGTATGACGTAGTGTTATTTTATTTTGATTTACTGTATCTATTACTAAGCTTTGAAGGTACAACCAACTATGTGAGTCTTAATACGTTCAATTCATAACAGTATAAACAATACATAAAGTTCATTGCTTTTGTAATCAATATAAAACAACAGCTATATAACTATTGTTGTATCTTATCTAGTAGAGCATATCTATTTCGCAACATGTATATATTCTCTTGTTAATAAGCAGGAGAATAAGTAGCGAATACAATCATATCACACTACTTGCTATTCAGACAAATTAAGATACAACTGTTTTCGTTCCGTTTGCGAATTGTAATAATCGCGAATCATTTGTTTGGAGAGAAAATATTTCTTTTTAATATATACCTGTTTGCTCCTTTTCGAATGGTTCCTCGACTTCTTTAAAACTTGCTAATAGTCGAATATCTGTACATATCTACAAAAGATCATTGTTTCATAAAACAACTTGTTTAATTCTGATGAGATATTTGAATGTTTAGAGCAATTTCACACACCATCCAAACCAAATATATGAGTGAATCAGACATTACACATAACCTCGATAACATATCACTCGTTTATTTGCCAACTCTTTTACCGCGAACATATTTCAATGTCCCTTTTCTTCGTTTTCTTAAGAATTCCTTTATTCATTTCTCTCAATTTTTCGCCAAATCCCTTTTTTATATCACATTCGAAACCCACAAGGACACAATCAACTGACGACAATATGAATGTAAGATCACTTTACATAATTTGTTAAAAAAACAATTACTGACACATGTCAAAATAATAAAGTTAGATTTGATTCTAGTGCGTGAGATATGTTGTCATGCTGCTAAATAAATCTTATAGATATACCTGGTCAAACACTTCATTTTGTTATAATTATATATAACAGGACGTAAATATGAACGCAAACGCCGTAACTTACGATACTACTGCCGAATGTCATAATTCCCATTAACTTTATAAAACCTCCCTTATGTTCACCGCTGTAAATATTGAATACAAACATTTTATATGAGCTTTGTTACCTGCATAAAGCCATTATAACAAATAATAGAACGAGTTTGACTGATGACAGGACTATATATATACATTTTCTATGATTGGTTGCGCATGTACGGTATAATTTGCATCTACGTTGCTTACAGTTTCCTTATATGGTCTCCAACCTACCTTGTGTACAGACGCCCCCATACTGGCTAGTGTACTCAAACAGTCAACATCCACCTTCCTGCTGTAAGTCTGACCACAGATTAGGAAATTTCTAAAACATATCACACGAAAGAAACAAAGATGTTGATGCCTTCTTCATCAATCTACCGATGGAAGTGCAACAGTTACTATGTTCCTTATATTCCGGAAATCATTATAATTGGTTAAAAATTTAATATTTTATCTATATTTTTATCGAGACTTTATTTTATAAATTTTCATTAGATATTCTGTTGACCTTTCGTGGGTAATAATGTGTTCTTGATATTAAAGTTGAAGAATTTAAGAATTCTAACTTTGTCAAGTCAAAAAGAAAACATCCTTACTTTTTAAAGCCAGCAGCTTCCGTAACTAATTTGTCCAATATTTCGACCTGCAATGTTAAGGAGAATACAAATATTATGAATATAAATTAATTGTGTTAATTCATATCGCAGAACCTCGTTATATAGTCCTTTGTTCAGCACCCCTGCAGGTCGGGGACCGAGAAAAGTATACAACTGCGGGTATCCACTGCATGTATCGTAAGAGGCGACTAATGTTGGAACACCCTGCATATTTAGGGATTTGCTTTTGTGCCCTCTTATAAATAAACGACAACAATCAAGCTGCTGCATCAATTGCAACAAAATGGGATCTTCATCTTTCTTTCTACTTCTATCTACGTTTTTATTTCCTAGCGCCTTGCTTGGCAATACCTCACTTCCGGCTTTAATGTTTAAAGTCGGCATCATATCCGCGTTAGGGAAATTCACCAACAAACCCTGTCTCCGGCACACAAACACACATGGACGCATACACAACCCACATGGAGGCACGTCCTTAAATGACCTTAGCTGTTAATAGGACATTAAACAATAAAAACCAAACCAACCCAAGCGTATGGCATTTTCTACCTTTTCATCACTGCCTTCAAACAGTGCTAAAAAGCTGGCCTGTGTACCAGTGGTCCCCTTGACACCTCTAAACCGGATGTTGTTTCGGGCTGTCTCCAAGTTTCGTATGTCCATGAGAAGGTCTTGTACCCAAACGCACGCTCTTTTACCAACAGTGGTCAGTTGGGCCGGTCTGCAAAAAGATGGCGATTAGTACCATCTTTTGTCAAATTTTTATACATTCCTCGGATGTTTTACATTATTAAAGGTGATACCGACTATACTCCAATATAGATGATACCTACGGAATAATGTCGTGTTATGATTTATTCTATGTCTGATATATTGTTTTCCATTATGAATTATATGTATAGACATTATAACGTCACATCGCATGATGTTAACTTACATTGAGAGATTTGTTAACTCACATTGAGAGATTTGTAAACTCACATTTTGAATTTTGTTAACTCACATTGAGAGATTTATAAACTAGAATTTAGAAATTTGTTACCTCACATTGAGAGATTTATTTACTCACATCGAGAGATTTATTTAATTCATATTGAGAGATTTGTTAACTCACATTGAGATATTTGTTAACACATATTGAGAGATTCATTACCTCACATTGAGAGATTTGTTACCTCACATTGAGCGATTTGTTAAATCACGTTTGGAATTTGTTAACTCACTTTGAAAGATGATCACATAGATTAACCACAGAGATAAAACTTATTTCAGAAATGTATTGCATATGTTCACATCATGTATTAGGAGACCTAATTCAGAACACTGTTATTAGTTATATTTTGCTTATTTTATCTTTATTATTCTCATAGATATCCCGCAAGCTATAGTTTTTCTTTTCGGAAATGATATATTTAAGCTAAAACATTTTCAAATGCTTAGTTAGAGTTTATAGCAGTGGTACACAAATCTTTCAAGTAAATTAAACGAAATAGAAAAGAAGTGATTTAACCCATAAACCTGTCGTTTAATGTCAATATGAAAATTCGCTAAAACATTAGGAATATTTATTACAAACCAATTCTGATCATCAACATTTAGATTTGATATATAAGATTTATACTTACTGTAAATGAGTATATGCCAAACACGGTTGACCTTTGTATTCTTCAGCAAATACGGACAGTCTCTGTATGCATCGAGCAAGCTATAGGAATGTAACAAAACAAAGATATAAAGCTGATGTTTAACAACACTCATGTAATTACTTTTTACAATTATGCAAAGAAATAATGTTATAATTATTACCAATTCATTCGCATCATGGAAGGAATGATGCATTCGCAAACTCAGATAACGCAATATTGCTTTTATAGCGCCAAAGAGGTATTCACGTATTTATATAAATAACGCAAAAATAATAAAAATAATTTGTGATGCAGTATTTCGTTATTGGTTTTATTAAAATGAAATTAAAAAGTATGTACATTTGCATATATTGCGCAATAAAGGTCCCAAGTGTTTCAGTTATTTTATAAATCATGCAGTGATTCACACAATTTGTTTCTCAACCCACCGAATCATCCTGAAACAAACTCGAGAACGGTTTTGATTTAAACTTTTAAAATAATATTTATTAAACATGAAATAAAATGTCATTTATGCAAAATTTATTGAGCAGTTTTCCATACAGGATGGTTATTTCTTACCCAATTTGTATTAATTCTTATATCACCCAGGGGTTAATTGACGAGCAGCTGGATAAAATGAATACGATTGCTATCGTTGTCTACTCCATATGGTATTTCTTTACAACTGGATAAACTAGTATAACTTACTTAAATTCCATTTCATCGAACACCTCTTTCATATTATAACCGTTTCATTGTTTTTGTATGTTTTGTGATTGTACTTTGATTCACTGTTCCTACCAATTAATTTGTAAAAGTAAAACATCTTTCACAATTTTTTTCCCTAGTTTGCCAGGCTCGCCGATTTTTCCAATGACAATGCGACTTTATACAGCCGATAAAAGTTTCATATAAGTGCATGACATCAACCATAAAAACATATAAGGAGAATAAAGAATCGCCTAGATGTAAACAACTGTGCTTGTCTTACGTCATCCTTCGATCATTACCTTGGTAGCCAACTAATACTTTAGAGAAGTTGTTACACGGTTAATATTAAACATTCTTTTCTTATTCCTAATATTGAAAGTCAACAGTAGCACTCTATTTTGGTGAAATTCATAAAATAAATGGTAATCACGTAGAGTTTGAGTAAAAGATCATGTTAATTAGTACTTACTTTAGGTAATAAGATGTCGAAACCATCCCTCATCACAATCAGGTCCTGCAATGTAAAACATATATTGTTTATAACTATCGTAAAATCTTCAAATATCATTTTCCTGTTGCTTTTAATGTTCTTTGAGATATATTGTTACAATTTTCACTCTAGTAAATCATATGGACAAGCTATGGGCAATTTGCATTCAAAACACCGACGGAGTATCCATTATTTTTTCTATTCGTTGGCTTGATTTCAAATATACATGTATGACATCATCTTTCGTTTTACTAATATAATCATGTGCACGTATTCGTTGTTTGACAGTAACAGATGTCAAATCTGATATATAAATAAAGGTGTTGATGACATTATAAACTGATTAAATTTGTATTGTGAAATGATCAAATAATGAAAATATATATATATTACATAAATTGTTATTCTAATGTTTTTTCACATTACAATCTTTAGTAAGATGTCAAACAAAGAAACAACATAATGTATATGAATGAATAAATAAGAGTTAATGCAGGAGCGAATGAGTGATAAACAGTAGTATATTATATACATTGTAACAGAATGATATGAAGCATGGACGACAAATTCTTGTAAATGGTTTACGCCAGCCCTACTATTGGTGATCATCAACTGCAAGTAATATATTTACAGGCTAAAGCATTAAACTTCATATTATGCTTAGAATTATACACCTATAATTCGTACAAGATTGTAGACGAATGGAGAACGCAGTTCTGTTCAGAATTAAAGGACGATTACTCTGAACAGAATGCCGCTCTTTACTATTAAAAATTGATTTTGACAATAATCTGATATTCAAATGTCCTGTTCGCTTTCAGATTATTTCAGAATTGCAATTCATCCAGTATGGGCCATCTATGTCTCACGCTATGATTATGACGTCACAATTATAATTACGTCATTAACACAACTCCAGATTTATCGTCTTATAACTCATAGTTAAATTTGGTAAGTCTATATAACGGCTATGCTGAGCAAATGATAATAAAAATGATTAACCCTAAAGCAAATCCGACAGCGGAAACTCACAAAATGAAAGAGAAAATAAAGCAAATACCTGTAATGACTTAAGTGCTCATGTTACAATAGGTATCAAATTGGAAATAACTTGCCCTAAATAAATTGCTTCTGTGTGTGTACACTCACAATAAAAGACCTGAACAACCATATAAGAAAGGTAAAGGTAATTGAGGTACGTCGTTTGTGTGAATTATACGATTTTAAATATTTGGATCTAATCCAACCGACACAATTAAATCAAATAGGGATACATGATAGAATCCGTAGTAAACAGTTAATGTTCTTAATGGTTGAGAGATATCCTGAAAGTAACGGAGTTGACAGTAGGTTTTCTTGTATGTGAAATGATACATTTACAGTGACTAAGGAAACAAGATGTGTATTTGCAAGTCAACCAACACACTGAATGTAACGGAGTTGACAGTAGGTTTTCTTGTATGTTAAATGATACATTTACACTGACTAAGGAAACAAGATGTGTAATTGCAAGTCAACACACACACTGAAAGTAAAGGAGTTGACAGTAGGTTTTCTTGGATGCTATGTGATACCCTGACTGAGTAAGAAAACAAAATATGCACGTGTGAGTCAAGCAATACACTGAAAATGACTGATTTAACAGAATGTGTTATTAAATGATTGAGTTAACGTTACGCGCTCAAGAGACACGGTAAATGAGTAAGCACAAAAATGGCGTTCTTATTGTTCAAGAGATAGACAAAAAGGACTGATACATGATACGTGCTACTTTCTGCCAAGAGACATACCGAAAATGTGTAAGTTTATAATCGGCGTTTTTGTGTGTCAGAAGATACACTGGAAGTGACTGAGTGACTGAGTGAGTGTAAGGTATTCTTGTAAAGTGCGTCAAGGGATACACTGAAAATGAATAAGGGTAAATGGTAATGGTAAACATCAGATGTTGTAAAGGGGCAGTCTACTAATATCGTTTGCCAAGTTGAGTGGAGGTAGCTAGGCCGTCAATTCGAAAGGCGCCATATATTATCCGACAACTTTGAGATTGAAGCAGATCTTTTTCATCTGATAAATGTTATGTTACAAAGAGTCTGCTGCCTCTCATCCTTACCATTGCAACTCTTTTAACCTCTTTATATTTTCCCCTTCCTACCTACTCTTTCTTTACGATAGTGTCCCAGCGGTGAAGGGCTAAACCACTTGGCCATCGCGGCCCCATAACCTGACTGAACAAGTCGGAATCGGAACCAAAGTCACATACTTATCTTACAAAGTACATTAGCTACAACGTGTAATTCAACGTATATCTTTGTTGGTTAATACGCACGGTGTTGTCGCCGACGTAGGCGGAGGTGGCACCCAGGTGGATGATGGGAGCGGCAGAAGGACAGCACGTGCCAAAGGTAATCACGTGCGCCATGACATCATGTCGTACACGTTTCTCTTCCTGCGTAGCTCGTTCGAAGTCTATGTTATTGATGTTCTGTTCCATTTGAGAAATCTGCTCCTCTGTGATGTCTAGTCCCAGGTGCTGTAAATATAACGCAAAAATCATTGAAGAGAAAGGACACATATCACTGCAAAAATGAACTGTAAGGAAAGCACTACGTTTGAATATCCGTGTTTCCCAGTCAATAAAACGAAAACAACGCTATGTCTGTTAGTTGTCTGTATATGTATACAACATTGACATAACACACTATCTGGGAAATGATCTTGTGGAAATATAATCTTGATATCTAATGCTTTGGTTGACTGGTTGTATCGCTTGATATTTCCATTTACCTGACGAATTTGATATACTTGATGCTTCGACTATGCAGTATAATGAGACATAAATGATTTATGAATATCAAATAACCTATATTTTATACACCAGAGACACTACCATAAACCAACCTCTAAATTTCATCATAATTCGACATCCTCAATATTACGTTACATGTCAACCATTTGCCAAATGCATATGGTATATGAAACGAATTAACCGATTAAAGACAATTAACCGATATCACTTACCCTTTCACCTTTGGCTAACCATGTCCAAAGTCTTCGCCACGTGGAAAATTTCTTCATTTCACTGAAGTTGTAGGCCATCTCTGGACCAGCGTATCTGGACACGAGTGGAGATCGGTATTTAAGGTGTTCAGGAGGGACGTTGCTAAAGTCAGGTGAGGCATTTAGGTCCGTTCTGCTGTTACTCGATAGCCGGCTAGTGTAACTCTGGCGAGCTTTTGGTGAATCCATCAGTTCTGTAAAATGTTGCAATTTCAGAAAGAGTCAAGAATACTCAAAACCCTGTCATGCACCTACTGTTGCTGAACGTGTCACTCATACATATATATTTTCCTTGTTAGGCATATATTGTCCTTTCGCGCATGTGCATTATTGATTCTGTCATGGTAGGTAATCAGCAAGGCATTGTATATCACCTTTCCCAGGGGGAATTCGGTCGGTCCTCAGTGTAAATTGGTCCTGGTTTTACCTGATGATTAAATTATTTTACGTCGGAAAGTAAACAGTAATTTAATTTCCTGATAACTAAACAATAATCGAATTCGTCGAATGTTACGCTTCATGAGAGTAATACCTGTTGTAGACAGAAGTAGACCGGATCCCAATTAATTTCCTACCAAGGTTGTTAACGATTCAATAGCACGTTCACTTTTATTTGGATATGTCAATAATCCAATTAAAAGTTACACATAAAAGTGGAAATGCCTTAATAATTAAGACGTTGAGAAAAAAAGTGCACACAATTTTACTCAATGTAATGTGTACGCATACAGTTCAGTACAGTGAGATCAACGGTCTAGCTAGCTAGGTACTTGATAATACATGATAATGCTGAAGACATGTGGAGACAAGGAACAGGAAAGATATAGATACAACTATGGCTAGCTAATACTTACCCAGGCGAAATATCGATTCTGCATTCCATAATATTATATATAAATATTGTAATATGAGAGATATCCTAGTTAAATTCAATGTATTTTATGTATTGATTAAGATATCTGAAATAGTATATTTGATTCAATGCATGTGATATGTTATGATAAAATATGAGATATCTAAAATTATATATATAAACAATTGTGCATTCCATAAAAGATATATTATATATATTTTATAAAATACAGGATTTACATAGAAAACGACTTGCCATAGAAACAAGATAGAAATGCAAACGTCATACGTTGCCAGGGTTTGTTGTCTGATAATGGATTTACTAAAATTGCTATTTTTTATGACCGTTTTCTTTGTAATTCTGAATAATATATTCATATTTACAAAAAGTGTCAAGAACGTCGACTCCTTCTATGGAGAAAAAAAGATATAATAGTGTTTCCATATAGATAATTTGATAGATGTTGGTTAATAAGTATCGTTCTATTATACAAGTTTAAAGTTAGGACGTATGCTTTGATATAGTTAAAAAGTATAATTTAGTGTCCGTCCATACAATATGAAGTGCGGTTAATCATATATATTAAAACGTTCTCCTTGATATACTGACCTTGCTTTATCATGTATACGTTATGATTTATGATTAATATCAATAACTTATGGAGCATAATTTATTGTTTATGAGAAATGCAGAATAATAAAATGTTTGGAAAGTATGAGGTATGAACAGGTGACTTTAAGGTATGAAATCTATAAGTTATTAACCATGATGTTATGCCCAAGTGTTAAGAACCTTGATATTTTGTCTTAATGGTAGATCAGTTGATAATTGCTCTAAAATGTACAAATCCTGACAAATTGTTTCTATTGACACATGTATCATATGTATTTCAACGATTCATTTTCACGTGAATATTGCACTTTTATTTTCCGTTATTGATTTTAATGTTCCAAAAATAATTCTAAATGCATATATAAGTCAGGTTTGAGTACAGCTCTGTCAAGGGAGGACGAGAGCATTCTAATTAGAGACGAGAAAGATTTTGGACAGATAAGGACGTTGTCTCTGTAACAGTTATGCGAGGTCATGCTTCAACTGTTATGCTGTTATCGCTGTGTAACCGACTACCCGGTACGTTGCTATCAGTAGCAGAGTCTAATTACCAAGCATTGTTAGCTCCAAAAACAATTCAAAATATAATACGAAACGTATAAATTCCGTCATTAAATATTCAGTTGATCTACTTAACATTCAATGACAAGTTTGTCAGATAGAAATATACCACAGAAGCTGCGAAAATAGCATCAATTGTCAAATATTGTATTTATTCGCCACGTCAAGGCATTCGGTCAAGCTGACTAAGCTTTAGTATTCTGACTACTGATCAATATATTTATTAAAAATTGCTACAGGTTTACCAGTAGAATATTCTGTATTTAGACCATACTAAATTTTACAATATTCAGAAAGTCAATAAACAAACTCCTGACTGATTTTAAATATTGCACACAGTCGAAGTCTAACTCGTACAGCATAATGAAATGGTCATCGCAAGAATAAGCGTGGCATTATCAGACAGTTGAACATACAGGTATAATACTGACGTGATGATTTTGTAAAAAGCTAGGTTAACAGGTTTTATAGACATTGCAGGGTTAAGAGTAAATTTCGTTGAAACAGCAGGTACGTGTTATAACGACGCATAATAGGGTTTCCATTTCCATATTATACATTGTATGACAGTGGCGTGGATTGTTTAGATCATATGTTGAATCCCATTTAATTAGATCCCAACTATTGTCTGGGGAAAGATTACCGTTATACAGTATACACATTCTGTAATATTTCACTGAGTTACTACATACATAAATTTACATCTGTCTATTGTTTTCAAGTCCATACAAGTCAATATTCTTCTTGACCACTTTTTATATGTAACGCGACAGATCAGTTTCGCTTATTTCCCTTATGATAATGATTATAACTCCTTTCTCCTAAACAGTTGTGAGATTAAGCTCAACTCCTTCCTATACCTACAATCTCACACGATGAATTACCGAAACCAAAACCGGAAACGACGATAGCGACAGCAACACACAACGAAGACTATGACATCTCTACTGGAGGGACCATCGTATCGTCCCAATCGGGAACCGTCGGCACTTTCCGTAAACGAGTTCTTTAAGGATTGCGTATCGTCCAGCAGATCTTGTTTTTAAGTGACGTCATATACCGGGAAACACTGTTGAATATTCGTTTTCAAGTTAACAAAACAACTACAAATAAGACACACATTTTGAAAAAATCAGTTTATTTTAAACATCTTAGCGTGTGAGTGTTACGCCAATGTATTACGCTACCGACATTTACATATAAATCATTCCGTTATATGACCTTTGCTTGACCTTTACAAACCACTCACACTTAACTCGACTCCTAATGTAATCTCACTTACAATGCAAACATTTTCATACACTCAATTAAATACATATGCACAGTTGAAATGGATATATCAAAAGAATAATGCAATACTTTGTTTTTAATTTTGATAAACGTATACTAGCTGATGTCCGTTCTTGTTAACCGATAGGTACTTACTGGTTTATTGCCAGTATGTTGATTTTGGCTGATTAGTAGTTTATTTTTACGATATACATGCATTAAGGTCACGTGTTTCAAACAGGTTGCTTCTTCGATTTGCATTTACTGTGTATATATTGGACATTTTATGAACCCACAATCCACACACTTAATCAAGTTTACAGCAAAAGGCCTTCAAGTTTAATACGTTTACATCGCTAGTCAATTAACGTAATCAAATTTATGTTCATAGTTCATGAACGTATGATCAGTTCATAGACGTATTTATGTTAACATCCATTGTCAATAAACGCAATCGCACTTTCATTAATTGTACATAAACATCACAACGTTCCAATGACAGTTTACAAAAATGTATAAACTTATGATGTTGACATCAATACAATTTGAAAGGTAACAGCATCATGTTTTCTAAAGGACGTACCTATGAGCACAGTCAAAGATCAGAACAGTCGCCAAAATAAGTAAATAATCAGCAGTTAAGCATTTACCATTCTTACTTTTGTACATTTATTCCCAAAACTTTCGATCCTCTCTTGTATAAATTATCTATCTCACTGACACCAATATTCTCTCTCGCATTCACACATCAGCAGACGACAATTCACGGCAAAACCATGTATCAGATAATTACAATGCGGACTAACCAAACGTATACATTATACATGTTCATTTCTTAAAGGTCAAGGTGAACATATGTTACGTATCATAATATACAACACATACATACATATATATATAAAATATTTATATATCACAAAAATATATGCATCTAGAAAGGTGACTGTCATGACAATTTGAACACCGCTGAAGAAGGTGTTTTCGTCATGCTAGTATATTTCTGATTTTTAATTTTTACTTTTCCTCAATATTGTTATTTAAATATGTATTCTACAGTACACCACAACTTCAGCATATCTTCCAAATTGTATACGTCCAACGGTAGCAGTTGAATGGAAAGGGGAAAACGTGTTTATTTAAAAGTTTAATTATAACTGTCACGTGACAGTCACGTTTCACGTGTGCTTCATGTTATTACCTTATATCCTAATCTAGGAATGATGAGACCAGCACAAGCGATTGCATAGACAATGGAATCATTGTAAATCGGTAAAACCTCATAAAGTCTTCCTCTAAGGGTTGAAATGATACATTTCTTTATTAAAATGAGTTTTAAAGTCTTCCTCTAAGGGTTAAAATGATACATTTCTTTATTAAAATGAGTTTTTAAAAAGTTCATATGTGTCGTATAAAGTTTATATGTACACACATCTTATAGAATTATAAACATTTTTCTTTGACGGTCTTTGGAGCTATTGTTATTGGAAGCCCGTAAATATATACAGAAATGAATGACCACATGATTAATTCTTTCTTAACAATGCACATTTAAATCACGGTACACATCACCAAACGACACTTCACAATGATGCAATGCACCATACAATATATATATAAAACAGGTACAAAAATGATGCGAACTTTAAATTAATACATAGTATGAGCATTGACTGTACATTTATTGACTAACATTCTAAATTACTACACACTGGAATACCTGTCAAATCTGTCAACATCTGGCTTATCCTACATACAGTTGTCACTGAAATGAAATCATGTCAAATCTGTCAACATCTGGCTTATCCTACATACAGTTGTCACTAAAATTAAATCATGTCAAATCTGTCAACATCTGGCTTATCCTACATACAGTTGTCACTGAAATGAAATCATGTCAAATATGTCAACATCTGGCTTATCCTACATCCAGTTGTCACTAAAATTAAATCATGTCAAATCTGTCAACATCTGGCTTATCCTACATACAATTGCATTGTCACTGAAATGAAATCAAGGATATAAGAAATCTAAGGTCATCGGTTTAGTGCTGGCAATACTTCACGGTCAATCCTGTTTGAAGAAACTCTTGGCAGTACTTGAAATCTGGACAAATTTACGACATAATATGTTTGCTGTCGACCTGCCATAAAATTCGAAACATATTACGAAGAAAATAAATGGAACCGGTTTGGACTTTTGTAGGGTTAGGTGGTTAGATATTGGAGAATTTGCAACTCAAAAAATATTCAATATCCAGTCAGTCTCTGAAAGTTCCAGAAGACAAATGATTTTGATCATTTGTCAAGTTAACCCATTCACCCCTGAAATTTCATAATGGACTATTCCAACCTTTGAATTGGTAGAGTTCAAATGTGTCTCCAGGGGTGAATGAGTTAACAACCAGTGGTGACATAAAATGACAGGTTATCCCGTGTAAACATCTAAACAATGTCATGACACTAAACAATGTGTAATTTTAATGACGCTATTGGAATATATTTGTAATGAAGTGATTTAAACACTTGACCAACACCATCTTCTACAATCAATAACCTGCTTCTTTCAATAGTTTGTAGTTCAGCATTTCACGTTTTGAACGACATTTTGATTTGTACCATCGATCCATTGAATATTATATTTGAAGCCGACTTTACATTACAGCAGCTTCTAAAGACAGCATCGTTAAATATGATGATTCGTCTATTACTAGCATGTTGTCTATAATTGCCTGCTGCGTTTGGCGACCGCCTCACTAGGCGTGTGATGTATGAAGTAAAATACATTTACACTGCATCCTAATTAATCTGGAAGCATGTATCAGTCAAGAACCTTGATTTCATAGCATTGCACTTCTGGAGTCTATATCTGTAGAGTGAATTTTCCTATCAAAGTCCGGGATGATGGGAATTTAAAAAAAACAATGTGAGATGTTTCAAATCCTCTCGTTCTTGTTGGTGACATATGACGTTGTTAAATGATGGCAAATGACATATCAATTCTCTTTCACTCTTAATTTTTGTCATAGAGATTGGGTGTAACATGATAGATACACAAACAGCAGACACATATATTCAATATTTCAGTCATCAAATTATGCAATATATATTGAAATTGTGACTGTTGCAGGTTTAACAAAAAAAATGAAAACGCATTCATGACATAACGATTGTGTGAATTGGACGGACACTAAGAAAATGGCTACATTCCAACCAGTAAGTACAACTCTTAACTTTGTCTGGCTTTCTAAATCAACATTTCAAAAGGGTGCAATGATTTTAAATACATTGACATAATTTCAACAAAAAACTCGAAATGAGAAACTTGGGCACACATACCGTTCATTCATTCTATAACCGTTATGATTTTAATTAATTACTGATGTACTAATCTAAACGCTCTGTTTGTTCCTATTAGCATCAGTAGAAGATGCATAGACAGTACTGGTACAGTTTCACTGGGTGAAATGTAGCATTTATGTCAAGCTTAATATGAAAATGGTACAAATTATAAATAAATACGAAATTCCTGTCACACTTTCACTCAAATACGAGTTTTAAGTACAGATGTACCTTGTCAATGCATACATAGTATGATCAATGGCAGACACACGTCCATCTCGAATATTCAGAGAAAAAAACCAATTCTATCAAATCACAATACACAAACCTTACTCTTCAGTTGCTAAAAAGGATAAAGAGTGACTGGAAACTTTAAGGTAAGTGCTCTTGGTTGAGATGCATGTTTAGAAGACATTTTTTTTTACTTCAATCAAATGCAAAGTATTCTCCAACATTTCATTGGAATATTGTCGTTTATCATTGTACCAGAACAAAATTGAGAAGATTTCAACTTACTAAATGAACTGTACGTAATGGTTGTAGAAAAAGAATTTTTGGTGGGCCATTGACTTTTTCAGAAGTCTTCAAACTTGCATTCGCTAGAAATTGTGATTATCACTAGCATATGAAGATTTATAATAAATACAACGAGTAGAATATATTGGTGATTTGGTGATGAAAATTCTCTTTTGTTTTGGGTTAATTAATTTCAGAGACAATATGAAATATTCTTTAGAGATTAACTATTACTTTTGAAAGATGAAATTCAAATATTTCATGAAATACGCTGAACACACTAGGGTCAATAAAGTCCATTAAAATGACCGAAATAATAATAATATGTTTTAGGAAAATACAGGAACATTATTTCTTAAATACGGTTGCAAAACATTTTCCTCCCTTCCCCATCTTTCTAAGTTGTTACAATTGTTATCATTTCTGTTGCTTATTTTTACAGTGACAGTGGTAAACGTACATTATAACTATATATGAAATGGCCGGGACATAAATAATAGGAGTATTAAAGTTATCTCACAACTCACTCTACTGATTTGTATCACAGTAATACTGATATTCAATTACAAGTAATTAGCATGATAAAGTAATTTGAAATTACATGAGCATTTTGTGTCCCTTCAAATGTATAAACAATTAATCAAAATGATGATTTTTATTGAACCGTAAAGGAAAGTAGATGTATGTCACAGGGAGGCAACCTCATCAAAGTGCTTATCTATTAAAATTTGATAATTCGCTATAGTTTGAGCGCCCTAAAATATGTAAACTTACACTAAGTCCAGTACCCTACTTAAGTGAGAGATTAAATCTTGTCATCGTTGACTATTGTCCGTAAAATACTTGGTATATGTAAACGGATATATACCTTCACTGAAATATATTTTAAATATATGAAAAATCAATGAAAAACTAACGGTCTTCCGGAACACTTCTCCTTGCAGTCATTACAAGTAAGCGGTGTCCAATTTGTAAATATGTATTTGGATTCATATCACATTTTTTAATTTAGTAGTGAATTCATGAAGACTGTGACACAGGAACTGAGAAATGTTCACACTACCAAGCTTCCCGGTTTTCAAACAGTATATCGTTGTGTTGGTTAACGATTTAAACACGTTTGAAGCCATATAACATTCTACTACGCCACCGAAGTCAGTGTGCTGTTACCGTGGCACATAAATCGAGATATAAAACTATGGTTAATAAATAAATTACAAAAATCAATAATACTTTATTGCCCCAATATCCGCCGTCACACGGCCATGAATCTGTACGATGTGCGTTGTGAAGCCGATCAAATTTTAATTTTAATTTGTGTACCATTCTGTATCAACACCATGGCAACATCACAAACTGTATGAAATATATATTCCATGCCTATATGCAGTGCTCCGAAAAACGTCAAACCTGACCTTGATCAATAATTCATCATCAGGTCACAGTTTGCAGTAATGTTCTTTATGCATTTCTTTTTCCTAACTTGATCTCGATTAAAAATTCATTGTAATGTCACATTTTGCAAGTTATGTTCATCACTAGTCTCTAATAACATTTTAGAGATTGATCTAAAGGGGTTTTGGGGTTTCAGGAAACTCTTAAGCCAAGAAATTTTCCTTTGGAACTTGCATATTACCTCTCTGGACCCTCTCCTTCATCACAGGAAATTAGGAAACCCAACTTAATTTGTCTCTTGCCCGTTCACTGATGCTCGCCTGGATATTTAGAAACACTTCTGGAAACTCAACATCACATCAATACTGCATACGGGTATCATCGTTATATTTTCAGCCTTTTTTCTTTGATTTGATTTTATGATTCGGAACAAAATCTCAATTTCAATTAAAAATAAACCAATTTTCCTATTAATAAATGTACGGTTATTCGTATCGTTTTGAATTGATATCATATTTAGTGTTGTTAGCTCCATTCGTCATTAAAGGCTTGGATGCGTATGCTTCCTCTTGTTCTCTCCTCTTCCTTCGGAAAAATCCACACTGTAAGATAGAGAAAATAATCTTAAATTAGAGTTTGTTCTTCACAAATTCATCTCAATTCAATTTGACATTTTTTATACCAAGTTCACCAGACATGTCTCCCAGATATTATTACATGCGGGTTGCTTAGAAGATTGAACCTGTGAGTATTGGTGTTTTGATAAAATTTAGAAACTATGGCCCATATTCATTAAACCATTCTCAAGCTCAAGCATGGATTCTGTGCTTAAATTAACTTTCTGTGTACTTGCTTAAATCATGTGACACAGACAAAAGGTCAAGTATAAACATTGAAAACACTTTTCCGGTTTCACGTTTCTCCGAAACCTTTTTAAAATCATTGCAAAAAATGGATTTTTTTAATGATTCATCATCAGAACAAGAAATCAAGCTTAAACATGTAATCTGAATTTGACCATCAGAATAGTTTCACAAACAAAGGCCTGGACCTTCAACAAGTTCAAGCTATATTTTCCTATTCAAATTGTACCTGTGTATCTCGACCCCCAACAACCCTATGCTAAATTGGTGTATTGTTGCTTCTGGTAAGTGAAAGTCTAAAGAACATTATTCAATGATTTAACAAACAGAATCATGTGCATTTGTTTTAAAGTTAAAACCATGCATATCTTGATAAAAAAATATATTCATACTTCATAGATTGATGTAAATCAAAAGATCGATCTAGTCTTTTTGTCTCATCAACAATGTGGCGCACACCGAGCCTTTAATTTTGCTATGACATATTCCAGGGGTGCAGAGAGCGAAAGTGAGTGTAACCCCTGGATATCGAGGGTGGTTTTGTTCCTGTGATATTTCTGTAAGATTACACTATGATTCTAGCATTTTATCTACTTGTTTTTTGGTATATTTTTCAACAAGGCGACATTTATGTTAAGTGCAACTTAACCTGTATTTCAGTATTTGTGTGTGTTATTCTTATAGTGTTTAACATCCTCGCGACAGCAAGGATTCTCAGAATACACAAAAGAAAACCCCTGATTCTGACGGGGTCCCGCATTGGTTACTTCTAAGGAAACTCATTACGTTAAATCACTTAATTCCTAAGAAAAAAATGCAACAATCATGAATTGGAGTAATTTGAAACATTCTGCAAGCTCTTTAATTGCACGCGCACGAAACATGCACACATATTCAATGCACACGGTATTGTATACCTTGCGACCCGACAGAAGAGATGTTGACTATCGTTGGTATGGGTCACTAAAGTAGCGTAGCGGTATACAGATGAACTATGGTGACCACAGAGCTGACGTTTTCGTTGGCTTTACCGTTGACCGAATGGACAATGGGTTTTCACAGGTGAAATAGATGTAACTGACCACTGGTCATTTGTATGATTTCACAGCTTCAGTGGGTATATAAGCTGGGCGAGGGTCAAGGTAACCAGTGTAAAAATCATGCAGCATAAACACATACGGGGGCAGGGCATATTATTAAAATAGCTCGCACATTTATTCGAAATTGTTACAGTAATTTCGGGTAAAACAGTTAGACACATCCATAAACTCATTTTCCCAAAAACTGTTTAAAATGATGGTTATGAAATGCCATTCAGACGACATTTAGATTAATCAAATAATTTTATTAGAATTTCCTATCATCATAAATTGCGCTTTTTATCCAAAGTATGGATGCAGGATTTCAATCAATAAAATCTCGTTACAAAATACCAGTTATATATATTTGATATGCAATTTGCAAAAACTTTTCCATTGAACTTTCACTAAAATACAATAGTTTTAGGTTGAATCAAAATTAACTGACATAAAGAAAAATTGACAACAATACAAATTGTGGATATTTATATTACAGCAAACAGATAACGACACGGAGATCTGATGTGTGGAATCCATTGAAGTTGGTCCCCCTTTCCTGATAATTTTGTGCCTTAAAAAACATTGAATTAAAAAAAAAACATCTAAGTACCAAACATCTTGTCAATAACTGCATTTTCGTAGAAAATTGTCGGAAAATTATTTCTTTTGAAAATATCCATCAAGTCTTGCAGTTATGAAATCGTTTTTTCTTGACACTAAATCGATTTATTATAAATTTCAGCAACAATGAAATTGGATGCTGCTATGAAACATTTCGTAAAGGCTGCACCTGGAGAAGGAAATTTCAAACAGCATGTTAATTAGGAAATCAAGGTGAGCATAGCAATAGAAAAGGTAATATTATATTAGTGTTGGTTAAGTTAGTATAGAGTTATGGAAGATTTTATGCGGTAGAGCAAAGGGGGTTAAAATAGTGGTTTATCTTCCGGTCGTTTCCGTTGGAAAAATCCACACTAGAAAGGAAAAGAAATATCCATGTCAACCAATTTTTTTACAGCTAGGTGCTTCAAGCTACAGTGTTACAGTTTTTGAAGTAATCAAATGCATACATGTTGCAATAATTTAAATATACAGAGGCAAGCAGATAATGAAAGTGAAAGAACAGGCTAAGAGTAATATATGTAAATCTCTACATATTTAGTTATTTTACAAGCTCAGAAAAAAAGACATGTTCAATGTTCTTTGAACAGAATTCCAGTCATGCATCTACATTCCTTATTGGCCAATGAACGAAAACTAATCAATGGAAAGAGGGGCGAAAATTCTACCTTCAAATACAATACTCGCATAATATTATGAAGTATTCATATAAAAGTGCATTCTACATACACAAGCAAGCATACTAAACAATAGGTAGTTTATTTGTACTAGAGAAGTATTTTTGTTATAAATAAGGAATAACTTGAGCTAAATACTATTTTTGCATTATGCAAGCTACAGGTGATAAGCTAGAAACATTCAGTTTGTGTTTATCAAAAACATAAAAAGACGAGTCCTATTCTTCTTGTCAAGTCTCCTTATTTTAGAGGCAGATACAAAAATAAATAACTTGACTTGCAAAATCAGCAGAATTCTCTACAACCTGGTTCTTAATCCATTTTTGTAAATTTATCGCACAGAAGAGCTTAAAATATGGCATAATCATGGCTTAAACTATGATGAAACTTCTCTGTCGTCAATGCCTTCTTTAATAGCTTATCAATATTCTCAATGAATTCTGCACAAAAAGCCGAATCAAGTTGAACTAGCCATCGTAGAAGTAAAATTTATTTATGCTACCAGTAGATTGTTAGTACTCCTGCTCACATCGCCCCGGTTGAGTCTATTTACCAAGGTACTCCTCAAAGTAGAAATATCAATTACATATTCAATATCTATCTATCCATGTACTTCGTTTCAACGAACAAATTTTAGTGCTTTTTGCACTTTTAATATTTTGCAAAAATATGGTTGTGCTAATTGAATTTTTTGTATATAATTTCCAAGTCTATATGTAAGGGAAACGAGGACGGCCCACTGACCAAATCATGACATCTATAACTTGTGTCAAGTCTATATGTAAGGGTAATGAGGACGGCCTACTGACCCCATCCTGACATCTATAACTTGTGTTAAGTCTATATGAAAGGGTAATGAGGACGGCCCACTGCCCCCATCCAACATCTATAACTTGGGTCAAGTCTATATATAAGGGTAATTAGGACGGCCTACTGGCCCCATCCTGACATCTATAACTCGTGTCAAGTCTATATGTAAGGGTGATGAGGACGGCCTACTGACCACATCCTAACATCTATAACTCGTGTCAAGTCTACATGTAAGGGTAATGAGGACGGCCCACTGACCCCATCCAACATCTATAACTTGTGTCAAGTCTATATATAAGGGTAATGAGGACGGCCTACTGACCCCATCCTGACATCTATAACTTGTGTTAAGTCTATATGTAAGGGTAATGAGGACGGCCTACTGACCACATCCTGACATCTATAACTCGTGTCAAGTCTATATGTAAGGGTGATGAGGACGGCCTACTGATCCCATCCTAACATCTATAACTTGTGTCAAGTCTATATGTAAGGGTAATGAGTATGGCCTACTGACCCCATCCTGACATCTATAACTTGTGTCAAGTCTATATGTAAGGGTAATGAGGACGGCCTACTGATCCTATCCTGACATCTATAACTTGTGTCAAGTCTATATGTAAGGGTAACGAGGACGGCCTACTGACCACATCCTGACATCTATAACTCGTGTCAAGTCTATATGTAAGGGGGATGAGGACGGCCTACTGATCCCATCCTAACATCTATAACTTGTGTCAAGTCTATATGTAAGGGTAATTAGTATGGCCTACTGACCCCATCCTGACATCTATAACTTGTGTCAAGGCTATATGTAAGGGTAATGAGGACGGCCCACTGACTCCATCCTCTCATCTATAACGTGTGTCAAGTCTATATGTAAGGGTAATGAGGACGGCCCACTGACTCCATCCTGACATCTATAACTTGTGTCAAGTCTATATGTAAGGGTAATGAGGACGGCCTACTGATCCCATCCTGACATCTATAACTTGAGTCAAGTCTATATGTAAGGGTAATGAGGACGGCCTACTGACCACATCCTGACATCTATAACTCGTGTCAAGTCTATATGTAAGGGTAATGAGGACGGTCCACTAACCACATCCTGACATCTGTTACTGATTTTGAGTCTACTTACCCACCACAGTAGAACTATTAATAGCAGCAGTAGTAGGAGACCTGCTGATACAGCCACAGCAATGATCCACGGTTCTACAGATTTCGGCTGTGGAGCTAATTTTTTTGCATTTACATATGAGCCAATCTGGAAGTAAACAAATTCACAATTAGCATTGTACCTTAACAGTCCAATCATGTTTCTTTTTGACCATGAAACAAAGACTATGTCTGTAGCTATAATGTATAATATTTGCATTGGCTCCACCCCAGTGCTTTCTATAGAGATCATAACTCTAGTGTGATCATCATGACGTCATTACAATTGTTATGTTAACATTGTAAAGCTGGATATAACTTGCCAATACTCGCTATTGATTACTCCAGGAAATCTACCGTAAATATTTCAGGAGAAATATGAAATCTAAATATCACTTTACCGTCCAAATCAATAAAAATATAAATGTTACACCGCATTCTGTTTTAACTGATAGTCTTATGATTTTGAACATTACTGCAGACAAATATTCGTAACACACGAACACATGTTATTCGATTTATCTGCATTCTCTTTCAGAATTACGGGATTACAACTCTGGAACGAATGCAGTTCAATGCTTAATGAACACTTACCTCATAAGTAGCTATAGTATAGGTGGAGTTGTCCACCTTTATGTTGTATGGCATTTGTCGGACTTCGGCCACAGCCTGGGATGTTATTAAGTATGGTTCACTGGTCAATCCACTCTGTAATCAATGAAAGATTGTAAGGCATAGCATCTTTATCTTTGCAATTATCATGCAAAAATGTCATTACTATGTGAAGACTTTGATTGTTGGTAGGAAGTTTAATGTTTTAAATACAGTATAGTTAAAGTATGTAAGGATGTGTTTGTTTATGGTATAACGGACCAATGACATACAGGGCCATCACACTGAAAAATAATTACTGGAATTAGGAAGTAAGGAAACACCTATTTAAAAATCGTGTACTTCAATGCAGAAAGCCAAACATAAGTTGACATTTTTGAAATGGTAATCAGGTTGCAATTGGCAACGAAGGGATTTAAATTCAGAGAAAAAGGCAGCAGGGTTGAACAGAAAAGATGTAGATCATTTTAGGAGCCTCCATTACCATGCAATTTAGTTCAGCCTTTTCTTTCCAATGAACCAAAGGGGGGTGAAATATTCCAGGTGAAGTAGTATTGAGGGTATGCCCCAGACAAAGATTTGGGATGGATGAAAGAAAGAGTTGACAGAGTTCACACCTTAGGTCCCCCTCCCCTACTGGTTGGAGACTAAAAAGATGGCCCAGTTCAGCCAAATAATGACCAGGCGCCAAATGTTTTAATCCAGATGCAATAACTGTATGTCCGTATGACACAATGTTTACCTTGACTAGGGTATCGGTCCAGATACGGGATCGTATCCTCACCACGGTCGAGTCCTGAGGCCTCATGTATCCCAGCTTACATCTAATGATTGTACACCAGTTCTTGTTACACACCTTAAATCAGATCAAACAAGCATTTTGAGTAACAAGTAGATTATTACAATCTGTATGTAATAAAACATCAATAAAATAGCCCCTTGTTTCAATTGCCACCTCACTTACTGACAACATATTTCATGCTCCGTGTTTTCCTTTACACTGTCTTTATACATCTCCCATAATATGATGACAACCTCATTATAATGCAAATAACTGGATAAAAGGTGGTAATATAGGTATGTTTCACTGAGCAGTTGAATCTAGTAAGCTGTGATACTTGCTCTCCAGACTTGTGCGTAAATGATCTAACAATCACATTCCGTTGAAAAAATTCCTGATTTTTCTCTTTAATAATATTTGCATAATGTATTTCTCATATCTACGTCGATTTCAGATTCCACATTTTTTCTTTAATATACATCAAACCATATGAACCTGTGTATCAAGCCAGCCACATCGGAAACAATGATCTTCTTTAAAACCTGGATATATACACTTCCATGTTTCTTTCAATACTTTTGAATCATATGAAAAGGTTTGGAATTTCTAACTAAAACAGAACAGAAATCCTGTATCTCATAAATTAGAGGATACTTCTCAGTCAATTGAATGAGATCACGCATATGTGGAAGATAAGTAAGATGTATTTACTATTTTGTTTGTGCTGTCTCGACTGATTCTTGACCCGGTCTGAGCATCGAGTGACCGGCGCTTTCTCCGAGCTTCCGCCTGGTGTTGGGCCATAATTACGTCCATCTTCTGTCCTTGTTTGTTGAATTCACTGTACCATACAATCATCTGCCATGGAAACAAGGGAGATAATATGTTATTCTATTGAAAAGCTGGATTTAACTCATTTACCCCTAAAAACACACTTGAACTCTTCCAATTCAAATGTTGGAATAGTTTATTATGAATTTTCAGGGGGTTATGAGATGATACATTGATATAAACAGCAAAGATGATTTTTTAGAAACTTTGAAGGTACGACATTATAGAAATATCAAGATATCACACGATCTTGTGTGAAGGATGAGTTATGAGTTTATCAATGCATGTCAAACGCTTTCAAGACTCAGATTTGTTTTTCAGAATTCCTTTGGATTTATCATACATTTTGCCTCTAGATCTGTTTAGAGATCTCAAAATGCTTTCGAGTGAGACGCTGATTTTGAGACCAAAAAAGAAGCAACCAGAAAATAACCATTTTTCTGTATAGTCTACGATCAAAGGTTTCTGTATAGTTTGATAGCAGACCAGTAATCAAAGATTTGCTGGACCACAGTGAATACTTACAGAAGAATTAAATGGAGTTATCACAATCGTTTCACACAGGCTGTTTTGCTGGCCGAGTACCTCCGGTGTATGTGTTAGGTAGAGAAGGTTACGACCAACATCGTCAAAGCTCGGCCAGTAAATGTCTATCACACTCTCCTTGATGTCACTGGGGCCAAGATTTCTCACCTGTAGCAGAAGAACACATAACGTCAAATCTTCAAGGCAGATGAGGAACACCACAGTAATTAATAGTCACTAAATGCATCAGTTTTTTATCACAAAAAATATTCCAAACTATTTTTGAGTATTTTTGACATGAATACTTTATAGAAGAAAGTAACCAAAAGGACTTCTTCTTTGTTAGAGAAAGTATCTCTGGGACCCAGGTTCACGAGTATAGCTATAACCCCTGAAATCCGGGGACAAGTTTTTTTCTTGTCAGCCTGTTGAATACCAGCCATTTCCTTTTTTTGGTAGAGCGTAAGACTAATAAGCTAGAGGTCCTGGGTTCGACTCCTAGCAAAGGCATCGATAAAATAATGACATCTGTTACATTGGTATCATTCACCTTAAAACTTAAAACTAATACATTGTACCAAGGCAAATCATATAAATGTACAATACATAACAACATCTATGGATTTATATCACTGATGACTCAAAAAACCTGATATTTTAAGAGATAAAACTGTTTTTTTTTTCTTGATATGCTAATTATATATTTTTTACAGAAACCAACTTACATCATATTCATGTACAACTGCTGGCCCGTAAACGCTGTGTTTAAATAACGCTACCCCGGTGTCGTTGTACACGATTTGTTCCGTCTGGTTTGCGCCCAGACGGCCAATGATAATGATGTCTGCTGCCTGTATCACTGGAATGGTGACGCTGAATGCATTGTCACTGTACGTTGAATTGAGCTCTTCGTTGGAACTGTAACAAAAGTCCATTTGTTAGAAGGCTTACTTGAACAAAAACAACAAGCAAACATAAAAAGGAAAGCAAAACAACCGTACAGCTTTTATAGCCTTGATAATATATATATGTAGATATTTTTCTCGAGACAAATAAAGTACCAGCTGGTTATAATCATAAAGAGAATTTTGAAAGTAACATATTAAATTTTGACCTTTACCCTGTTCTACCAAATTTGACATATGACCTTGCTTTGAACTTTGACCTGTTCAGACATTGATGAAGCATATGTGACCTTTTGACCAAGTTGTATTAAATATGATTGGCATATATATGTATACTACCAAAACATGAAGTAATATATCTCTTCATTCTTGTTATCAAAATATTTTTCCATGATCATGTTTTCAGATACAACATATTTGCAAGCTTGATATGAATTGGCAGAGTGAGAATTATTTACATTTGTGATACATTCGTCTCTTAATTTAATGTTAAACTTGCAATTGTCCCAATGGGGAATATGGCAGAGAATATGCAGAAGCTGACCCTTTGGGCAAGGTGAGCTTAAATAGTACAACTCGTGAAACAGGAATTTTCAGTATATACATGTAGTACATTTATGTAAAATATTGATCTCTTATTTTTATCTTGTTCTCAGAATGAGTGAACTTTTGAACACTGAACAATAAATATACAAAGAAATCGGAATCCATACAAGGAAATTACGTGAAGTGGCAGTGCTAATGTCGAAAACGCAATTTTACGTTAAGCAAACACTGCAGTATACTCGATCCCTTAGACACGTGTATTACCCGACGCATGTGTCAAAATCTTGTTCCATGTTCAAAATTTCATTTAATTATCAACACCAGAAGCAAACATATGAGAAACACTGGCCGAAAAAACCAATGTGTTAATTTTGACACATTAAGAATATAAAAGGAATCAAAAGATAAAGAAAACATGTACTTTGAGAAACAAAACAACTGATAGAATATATATTTCTGAAGTAGATACAGTCTGTATAGACATTTTTTTATTGCTCACCTGTTGATTACAAATTTAAACATGAGACGATCAAGGTTACCATCAATGTCTCCTGGAGTTACACGCAGAGTAAAGTTAGCCTGAAAATACAAGAATTTTATATACATCAAATATCATTGAACTGCAGTTGTAACTGTGACTTTAAATCTCAACGTATGGGATAATTGATATACTTTAAAGATTATAAAGTTAATCATGAAAATTGTTTTCTTCATATCTGTCAACTTTCTTAATTTTCATGGTGTAGAGAAAACAAAGCAAAAATTATAAATGTTTGTAATACAAACATCTACATTACCCCTATATGACCAAATGTTATTGAAAAAATGACAGATTTAAGCTATTCTATACACTACTTTGATGAAATGAAAAATTTGAACAGATTTAAGCTATTCTATACAGTACTTTGATGAAATGAAAAATTTTGAAGCAAGGTTTAGGAACGATTAACATACTGTACATGTCAGAAGTAACAATTTGGGTGGAAAATTCAGGAGACTCCCCAAATATTAAAACCTGGAGGGTTGACAGGCATATTGCATATTAACCCTTTCACCACTGTAGACCATAATAGACTCATCCATATCAATGCATGGTCGAGTCTACTACAGTTATATAGGGGTGAAAGAGTTAAGATTCAAAGAGTCAATTGAAACACTCAAGAGATGCTATATTCGCTATTAAAGCTAAGAATTCAACATTGAAAATCCAAAGCCTGAGCCATTGAGTCTGCACTAGATTATAAGAGTTACCTACCTTTGCCTTGGTCGGGAGAGGATTTCCCATGTCGCATGTTACAAGGTTGGTATCATTTGTTGTGTATTTATCACAGGAAAATGGAATGGTCTACAACAGAAAATTTAAACAACGACCGTTATATTGGAGAGCATAGAGGGTCTTCTTAATGCCAAATACCTATAGATAGTATTTATTACATGTCAAGATGAAATAAGTTTGTTTTTTGTTTTTTTGAAAACAAAAAAGATGAAATCCTTACCTGAAGGTTTCATCAATTTGACAGAACAACACACCTTTGTATATAATACTGTTATCTTTACATACCAATTTGGTACTTTAACTCCTTCACCCTTGAAGACGTTTGAACACTTACAATTCAAAGGTTGGAATAGTTCATTATGAAATTTCAGGGGTGAATGAGTTAAGAATAATAAGCTGAGAATGTCACTAATATACCTCTTACCAATGTCAGGATATATCATGTCATTCAATATACAGATATAGGTAAACGTACCAGGTGTGAATGCAATAATTAAATTTTATATAACGTTTACGAGGCACACCAGTCTAGTGGTATAGGCACCGGGCTCGTGACTGAAGGGTTGTGGGTTTGAGTCACGGCACGGCACTGTGTTGTATCTTTGAGCAAGATACTTTACTCCGCTTGTTCAAGTCTATTTAGCTGTAAATGAGTATGTGGTTGAGCAGTACTAGAATTGTAGAATGCTACCTGTGAGCGCCGACATGGCAGCACCGACTGTGTGCTCCCGAGGGATTTGAGAAAGATATTGGCTAGTTGCAAAGGCCCTATAACTACGGACAACAATTTGTGAACCGCTTTGAAACGACTTACGAACTAGGTTGTGATAGAGCGGTATATATATGAACCTCAAATTATTATTATTTTTATTAATATATGACAAGACAGAATTGCTTCTATGTGTTTCTACCATTTCCCTTACTAATGTATCGTACATTACACGATTTCACACTTGCAGAGTGTTGAAATTTTGTTTTGAAGATAAGGTTGTGTAGCCACACTCTATTGACAGTTTTTAATAAAACAACAAATGCATGTAGTCAAACTGGGTTCATTTGTTCTGAGTAACACCTCTAGAAAATATATGTTTTACTGACTGACAGTTGAAAAGAAATATGAGGAAATTTTCACTTAGACCAAATTTAATACTTACAAATTTTATTTATGAATTTCACTTCAACCATATTCTACAGTATGGATTTCTCTTTTACCATATTATATGTTATTTATCACATTATGTTACTATGTTATCCAGTGAATATACCAATGTCATATTTTTTTGGCATATCAACCCATGTAAAATGATCTATCAGCCCTGTGATTGGTTGTTAGTTTCAAGCATTTCAATTGTAACATCACGCCTAGGACATGTACATGTCATCACAGACTTACGCATCGGAGTCAATATGGCAGCTTTTTACATTTCAATGTTGCATGAAAATTGTCATTTTACACGAATTAATGCCACGAATCTTGATTTTGTGATAAAAAGGATTTAACACACTCGTCAACATTTCATACGAAATTTATGAAACTCGTCACAAATTTTTCATTTCAGCTCGCCAGAGGCTCGCTAAATTGAAAAATTCTTAAGACTCATTTCATAAATCTCCTATGAAATGGAAATGTAAGGTCCTATATATCTTACACAGGTCACTTTAACTCTATTCTACTTACAAACTTCCTGTCCTGAATACCGTTGTACTGGACACCTCTGGGTAGCTCAATGTATAACATTGTCTCAAATGCACCCTCGCCTCGGTTTTCAAGATGGACGACGATATCTATGTTGCTAGTGCTGCCAAGTTTGATACTGTCTGTAAACCTACAACACATAATTTATAAATATAACTCATAATGACAACAAAGCTTTAGATTGAGACATTTGTTAGACTTTCCTTCTAATTCTTTCAGTGACAGAAATAACGTAATTGGCACAGCATATTAATAAGCAGATCTCTGGAGGTTTCTAGTTTGTGCTTCAGTCATGTAGCTCCTTATATAGCCCATCATGTGTCTTAAAAGCCATATTACTTTTTTACAATTCAGGAAGGACTTTAGTTGAAACTTTTTTGTTCACGTGCGATTCCCCTCATCAAGAAATGCATGTGAACCTGCCTTTGGGTCAGTTGCTGCAACTCTCTTAGTGGACAAAAATAATCCAATTTTCATTTACAGAGATGTACATGTAAGTGTATGTCAGTATCAATATGATCTTGGCATTGGTTTGACAGACTTATTGGAGTTTGAATATAAGTTGTGTCAAGAATCTCTCAGGACAATGTAAACCCTTGGAAATTCAACATATAACATTACATGTACACACTGCGATCAAATTTTGGATTTTGAACACGATACAAACAAATGACTGGATACTCACGTGTAGGCTGTGCCCCACACGTCAGGTATACACGTCTCGTCTTCTCCGCACTCCTTCTGTATATGACCCTGTAATAGTGAAATAGAATAGATTTTTACAAGATTCATAGTAGAACATTTTCTGTTTGTAAAATATATCTAAAACAGACATGTATTCATTCAATCCGAGATTTATGGTAGGAGAAACATATTTTTTTCATAAATTTATTATATATTTCAAATATGACCGCCGACAGAAAATGACAAATACCATGGAATTTGCCAGTCTCTAGAAACAAGATTATTCTCGACTTCTTTGACATGAATATTCTGAGATAAACACTTTTTCATGTTTCCCTCATGCCAGAGCAATGTTTACTGTGGGGTTGGCAGCTTACCGTCGTGTTTACAAGGGTAGGCGTGTACTGGTCAAGGATGGGCTGCAGTGACCGTCGTCGACGCGCTAGACTCCTCTTCTTAAGTTTAAATTCAAACTGGACGTTGATTGGTGTGAGCTTGTCCCGGATGTCATTCTGTAGACAGAATTGTTTTGTTTTGTTTAAAGAATTAACTTGTCAATCGCAAACAAAACAAATTTCAAGGTTGAAGAATATAAATGACTGAAGGTTCTTCTTTGACAGACAACTGCTCGTAGTAAAAATTGCGCATAGAAGGTGCAACATAATTAACCCTTTCACCACTGTAGACCATAATGGACTCATCCAGATCTATGCATGGTAGGGTTAATAACAGTTACACAGGAATGAAAGGGTTAATATATGTTCATTGTTGCACAATAATTTACTTCAACATACAAGTTGGTTGTCAGGACTATAACCTTGATTTTCAAAAAAATCCCCACATCAGTTTTTTATTTTGTTCTGCACTTGTTGTCAAAACATGTCCCCCTTACGCAATTACCAAGTACATAAAGGAATTCACACACCAATCTTTGTTCTTGCAGAGCAGTTTGAAAGTATGGCTGTTGCTGATATACAGAAACAAGTCATGATCTTACGGAGATGTTTCCTGTTCAAACTGACCATCATGTATACAAAACAACAAACCTTGTTCTTGGTGAGCAGTATAGGTTTTAGATTTAACATAGATGTACACAATAGAGTTCAAACATCAACACACGTGTTTTGGTAGGCTGTTTATTTTTAAGACCTATCCTATAATGTACACAAGAGTTCTGGCACCAAGCCTTGTTTTTGGTGGGCTATTTATTTGAAGACTTACCCTAATGTAGACAAAAGAGTTCAAACATTAACCTCTGCTTTTAGTGAGCTGTTATTTTTTTAGACCTACCCATGCCAGATGTACACCCAAGATTTCTTATGCCTTGACGTGATGACCATACATGGTTTTTGTCGAGTAAAACATTGAAGTTGAACCTCTTTTTTTGGTGGGCTGTTTATTCTGAAGACTAACTCTAATATAGACAAGAGTTCTGACACCAAGCCTTGTTTTTTGGTGGGCTGGTTTTTTTGGTGACTTACACTAATGTAGACAAAAGAATTCTGGCACAAAGCCTTGTCTTTGGTGGGCTGTTTATTTTTGTGACTTACACTAATGTAGACAAAAGAATTCTGACACCAAGCCTTGTTTTTTGGTGGGCTGTTTATTTTGGTGACTTACACTAATATAGACAAGAGTTCCGACACCAAGCCTTGTTTTTCGGTGGGCTGTTTATTTTGGTGACTTACACTAATGTAGACAAAAAAAATTCTGACACCAAGCCTTGTTTTTTGGTGGGCTGTTTATTTTGGTGACTTACACTACTATAGACAAGAGTTCTGACACCAAGCCTTGTTTTTCGGTGGGCTGTCTATTTTTGTGACTTACACTAATGTAGACAAAAGAAATTCTGACACCAAGCCTTGTTTTTTGGTGGGCTGTTTATTTTGGTGACTTACACTAATGTAGACAAAAGACATCTGGCACCAAGCCTTGTTTTTTGGTGGGCTGTTTATTTTGGTGACTTACACTAATGTAGACAAAAGAGTTCTGGCACCAAGCCTTGTCTTTGGTGAGTCGTTTATTGTTGACGTATTCCACCACTTGGTTGGTATTAAGTTGGTACAAACGTTTGGCATCTAAAGTTTTCTTATCCACATCAAACTTCCAGGAGAGATCAAAAACTGTAAAAAGTAAAAGATATCCAATGAAAATCAAAACAATATTGTCAAACACAACTGTAGTAGGACGAGGAATAGTGATAAAGGAAGTACCGTTGCTGTGGCTCAAACCCGCAACCATTGGCTTTCCATTCCGATGCTCTTCTGCTGAGCTTAAGGGAAATTCCCTCTACCTCGAAGCTAGAAGGCAAACATAATCCTATGTACAATGCCTTTTTACCATGGATACTAATTTGTGAACAGCTTTGAGGCGACCTACAAACTAGGTTGTGATAAAGCGGTATATAAGAACTTCAACCTATTATCATTATTATTATCATCAATTCCAGTGGCAGTTTGTTTCAACAAATTTCTCAGCACAGAAGACATATGACACACAGGTACTTACCTAGCTGACGAGGTACTCCTATTCCGTCATACTTTATACAGGTAAATAATGTCACACTGTAAATCAAAGATATTTAGTTATTATCTATTCTGCCCGACTTGAATGCTTTTTCAATGTTGGTTCTAATCAAACCAGTAGTATAATGATAAAATTTGCACTTCAATAAGTGGAAACCTTGTTGTTATTAAAAACAATATATCACTACTCTCAATTTTAAATATCACTGTCAAACCTTCCTCATTTTGACCAAAATTTACCAAATCTCCCTCAAAACTCCCTCATTCAAGTCCAAACTCACACAAACTCAAAATCTACATCATGTGGTCAAATGATCTCCTAGCTACAGCAGGGTGTGTGTAATGATCATTACAGGTGTGTTTGAATCAAATGAATGCTTTTTGGAGTTATTGTTTCGATACATAAAAGGGGAGAGATAAATTGAGCAAAGCAGTTTCAGTTGCGTACGTTTCACACACTTTCTCCCTCATTTGAAATGTGGAATGAGGGAGACCTGCTTCATTGGAGATTTTAGAGGTTGACTGAAATACAAGAAGATCCAATCAGATTGCTGGATACTTACCATGTGACTTTGTGGGTGCCTGTCACTCCTTTATAGTTACAAACTTTACGGTCAAGAGAAATTTTCTTGGGGTCAATTTTTAAACTTGCAGCCACATAAACAATTGGACGAGCTCTGAAAATAAGACCAAAGGTATTAAAGACAACATAAGAAATGTATTTATAAAGCATTCATTTACATTTCTCTAATGAGTAATAATAGTTATAGCTATTGAACAATTTCGAAGGACACAGATCTTTGAGAATCACACTTTTTACACAAAAAACTTTCCTCACCCCTAAAAGAAAATTGCACATTTTTAAAAATTCATATGTGAAGTAATCACTAAAGAAAGAACCAGTTAAAAATTTGAAAATCTCAGGACCCTTGTTTTTTGCACAGTATCACCCCTGAAGACACATTTAAACTCATCCAATTCAAAGGTTGGAAAAGTTCATTATGAAAATTCAGGGGTGAATGAGTTAATAATGAATATGTACATTAACATGTTACTTACTTGAGATATACCGCATTGTTGGATGAATATGCCCCTACTAATAAATCTGCAACGAATAAAGTATGGACATAACACATCTGACAAGACTTCATGCTGGTTCAAGCAATGTGATGCACCAGTTACTGTAATTTAATCAGTTTTAACAGTGTCAAACTTTCGATTCTATACCCAGAAAAAAATCATTGAGGTTAGATTTTGCACAGCACTATAATAACTCAATGAAGTCCTACCTAACTCTCTTACAGTAAGGAAACTCAGCGTTAACATAGCTTAGTAATTGGCATGTATTTTGAGCCTTACAAAAAAGGGAAAAAAAAATCTGTATGAAAAATTAACTCTTTACCTGGGTATCTGTTGCTGTCCAGATCTTTCCCGCCAGAGAGCGACCAGCCGAATGTTCCGATGTTTGGTTTAAGGTCGGCGCCTTCTATTACCTGTATCAACAGAAAAGATAATTTGTATGACCTTGACTTTTACCTTACAAAACACATTGACCTATACAACCTCCCACCTCTTATTTTATACATGAGTTGGTTGGTTCTCTTGCAAATAATTTGTTTAATGAACACGTAAGTTTCAAGAAAATTAACTATCTATGATAGAGGTAAATTGGCCATAAATTGGAATTTGAATATAGAATATATCTCTGTGTGACACTAAAGATATCAAGAGTAGCTCAGACACTGACTTTCCAATTGGCCTTCATACTATCGATATGACAAATTCTGCCATTAATATGCTAAAAATCACAACAGCCTTTCATAGGGTGCTGAACTGTGAAAGGTTCACAATAAAACGTTTGAATGCGCAAGTCACCCTATTTGAAATTTTTGAAAGAGTTTTGGAGATGAACAAGGATATCCTTGTTCTAATCACTAGCTCAAAACTGCAACAGTTTTTCATCAACTTACTGTTATTAGTTATTCCACGTGAAGGGCAAAATTAACACTTTGCAAATGCGGATTTACTAGTGAAGGGGACAAATTTAACTGGGTGAATGTTTTCCAGTATTTAGTATTTTTGAACAGAAACAAAGTCTGTCGTGGCAAATCTCTTTCATTTCCACTCTACTTTTAATGTAAAGCTTAGAAATCAATTACAACAACAGGCAACATGATTTTTACCTGGGAAACCTTGGTAACGATGCCTCTCTCTGACCCAAGATAAATGTAAACTGCTCCTCGATTTTCCCTGCCCCCATATGGAGCCCCAATTGCAAGATCTGGAAAATGAATAAAAAAAGTACACTTATATTTCCTTATATGACAATAATGCTCCATATTTAAAGTGTAAAACCTCTTCATGGTACATTTTGGTTCATCTACCACCTCCCTAATAATGCCAGCTTATTTCAAGGTCCAATTTTCCTTTTTCTTAACATTCCTTTATGTATTTTCTTCCAGGTATTGCAGAACCTCTTCCTAGTGCTACAATTTTGCAGCATTATAACAAGGTTTACATAGATATTAGTATACAGTTAATTATATTACAATTACAATGAAAAGAAAATCAAAATTAAAACAAAAAATCCTTGCTATGTATCATAGATACATCAAAATGTACACAAAACTCTGCTTAAATTCAAAGGCCCGTGAATATTGTTCAGATCAGGTTCGTAAATCAGGGATAGACCTCACATGAAGTCCACAATTGTTTTATTATATGACATTTTACAATGAGATTAATATTTTTTCATGTCATAAACACATGGATGGCCTGGACCATTTTGGAATCACAGAGTGAAGGACTTCAAATACAAAATAGCATTCACAAATTGTATTTCAGATCTAATTCATGTGATATCTAATTTCAAGTAAATATTATTTGCACAATCGACATCATCAATATTCACATAGTTCAGAATATGATGAGATGATTCATTTTTAGTTGAATTCAGTAGTGTGATTGGTAACAGAATTACAGACTGGCTGGGAAATTACCTATGCCTATTTTTAGTAGCACTTGTCTGTAACACTTTTCTATTTATAGGTCGAGGTCTATAACACTTTCCTATTCATAGAATGAGGTCTGTAACATATTTACACACTCGTCACATGACGTCGCTCCTCCAATCAGGGCTGGGATTTAGCACCAGTCATATAATAACAAAGAATGTATCTCTTGTGTGTGGACATCCTATTACATAATTATGTCAAACTATCTACATGTACACAAACTGTATGTACAGATGCATTTTTGACAATTCTAATTGTATATAAAACATTGCAAGATGATGGGACAACAAAAAAGCATTTGATGGTATCTATACTGCACTTAATTCATTCACCCCTGAAATTTTATAATGAACTATTCCAACCTATGAATTGGAACAGTTCAAATGTGTCTTCAGGGGTGAATGAGTTAAATACATATGTGTGGGCTTATTACCAGTCATGGGCTTAATACTAAATAAATATGATACAAATTTAGATATGATATTCTCACCTTTAAATCCGTCAATGTTTAAATCACTCATTCCAATGAGAGCCGACCCAAACCTGGACTTGGGAGAGTGGCCATCCAAAATGTCGTAACGTGTTCTCTTATTGGGGCGGAACTGCCTCTGTTGAAAGTATAGAATATATTTTAAAACCATGCACCATTTTTACAACAGCATTGATGGTAGTAGCTCCATTCAAATGTTTCTAAATTTATTAGAAACATTTATACATATAACAGTAAAATCTTCTATTTTCCCTCCCTAATTTACTTTATGGACCTTCACCTTGTGTGAGAGGGCGTATGATATAGGAATGATATAGATACTTGTCAGGGTCTGAAAATTTCTACTCCTCAGGTGTTTTGGAGGGCTAATTTATAACAAACACAATATTATATGAAGAAATGATACATTTCCCTTGCTAAAATTGTTCCTATTTAATACTTGAGCTAACTTCACACATAACCCTCAATACAATTGATGTAAAATGACGTAATTTCCATTAATAATTCTTTTGTCATATATCATACTACAGAGGCAGGTGAAACCAGAAGGGTTTTCATCTTACGGATTAATTTCTTGATGAGGATATTTATCATTTTCTTGATCCACAGGTTTAAATGTTGGGCAATTACGTGAATGGTCTGGGTATGCAACTTGTTGAGCGCGGCAGTAAAACTTGTATCCTTATAGATTTGTATATCTCAATACAGTGTATAAGGATACTATGATTATACGATTATGATAAATATCATGTCAGGGGTCCTTCCTCCTCCTGGTGTTTTGGTGAGTTTATATTGAAAATGTCACCGAGAACTACAATTTTGGAAGGAAGTGAGGTCATCTTCAAAATCCAACGGTTTCGCCCTCGATACTCATATGTTCTCTAAACCCTTGGTACATGTATAAATATATATATGTCTGCCAAAATCGATGGCTTAGTATGCGCCACCTTGTAGATGATACTAGTAAACTAGTTTAATCCTCTGATGTATGTATATAAAAACAATCGCACAGCAGCATAACAGCAACATTGGATGACTTTGAAGTCAGTGCTGTTTTTTCAGCAATCTTCAAAATGCAGGTGTCAGCCTAAAGATTGATGAGTTATTTACACCTGAAACCCATCAAATAGCTGACTTCGTACCATCAATTTTATCATGACATATTCAAAAGGTGAAGAGACAATATGTTCATCAAGAGACAATTAAACCCTTGATTTTGAGGATGGAGTGTGTTGTGATTTTTCATTTCCGTCTCCTAGGTTTTTTTAAATTTCTTGGAGAAGCAACTAAGACTTATGTAAATTACTCCTACCCAGAAGGACAACAGTCTCTCTCAGAGTTACTTCCCCAAGCAAGCTGATGTCCAATTGTTAAGCTGGGTAGCTTGATACATATTCATAGCAATGTTTCATATGTATAAGGACACAAAGACATTACATTAGCACACTCAGGTGCCAGTCACATTAAAATCTCTCGTTTATTGTGTTTTACCACCTATTAATTTACAGCTATTGTCATTTAAGGACGTGCCAGGTTTTGGTGGTGGAGGAAAACCGGAGTTCCCGAAGAAAAAAACACTGACCTATGGCCAGTACCTGGCGACTGCCCAACCTAGTTCTTGAGCCCGCGACCCAGCGGTGGGTGGCTATTGGTAGCAGAATGTCAGACACTTCAACTACTTGGCAACAGCGGCCCCCACATTAAAATTTTATCTCATTTTGGTCTATAAGCCGACACACAGTAACCTAGTGTGTTCAGCTGCCTTGTCATTAAAATGAAACGTTTAATACCATTCAATTAGACTGCATCATTATGCAGTTTTTCATTACACTGCCAACAAATCAGTGTCAATTTACACAGTGTTGGGGTTGTGAAAGGTTTTTACAGGAGAAGCAATATCACCCCCATAGCTGGGTGTATGTAATCACTTTAGATACACCACGAATACAAGTCAACGACAACGTACTAGATAAAGCTTTTTCCTTGACATGGAAGATGTGGGTTCTGTTAAGATTTTCTCTTTAAGAATTGAATCAGCACGATTTGAACCTTAATTACCGGCAGTTGTGATGTTATGGTAGTAAGGTAAAGGATTTCCATTGATAGCATTACTTACATTTAATAAACATTTGTTTTACGTATAAAAAAATGCATTAAAACAATTTCTTCAAGACAAAATTTAATTATATTCCAATAATAGTTTAGTTTTTTACCTAGACTCATACATATAGTTTTTATTTAACGAGTCTACTGTATATACCCATTTTTCATGTTACACAGTTTCCGAACAACCTGTATATGCTACTCTCCCTGTACAAGAAAATTACTGTTTTCTCCATTCCCTGAGAGGATCAAGCTTACTCAGTCTACTTACTGTTTTCTCCATTCCCTGAGAGGATCAAGCTTACTCAGACTACTGAGTGTATACTACTCCGATCCCCTCCCCAAGTTCAGTTCAGTTTCTTTATTTCCAAGAACCATCCAACTCATAGGTTAACCCTTTCAACACTGTAAACCATAATAGGCTCATCCATATCAATGCATGGTAGAGTCTACTAAAGTTACAAAGTGACGAAAGGGTTAAGTGCATTTCAAATGTTGCCCCAGGGTGTATCATTCTCCCATCCTCCAAAGTCTATAACACAAACTACAAACTCCGACCTCCCTCCCCACCATTAGAATATTTCATACAACTAACAACAACAACAACACCCTCTACTCCCCACCATTAGAATATTTCATACATATTTCATAATATCAACCCCAGTGTATTAAACTGTCCCCACATCCCACCCACTTGAATATACAGCGTCATTCTTATATTCCCTCCTACGTGTGTGTATGACACTCCCTTCGTCATTAGAATATTATACAATCTGGTGTGAGAGCATTATATGAACTCCCCAAGTGGTTAACACTGCCTGCGCTGTGTATTATACATGTAATAACCGTGCATGCCTACATGTATCTAGGAAAAAAACATTTCACTAAAATAATTCCATGCTGAGGAAAATATCTGTATCAGTTGTCAAGCCCTTCACCATTAATTAGTTTAGAAACTGCTTCTATAAAGCTTGTGCATCTCAAATAATATCAATCCAAGTAACAATTTAATCTCGTTTCTAATATGAAATAATTAATTTCCTCAATTGCACAATTCAAAAATACTTATTTTCATCATTTTTTTTTTTTAAATTTCAATTTATAGTACATGTATAATAATACTGATAAAATCGAAGTAACCATATTAGGTACTGAAACATAGTAAATTTTAACAATGCTTTTATAAGGAAACCAACTCATTGGTTATTGCAAATAAAGATTGTCAAACCGGAAATGTCAATGCCAAATATAAGGTGTCTAATTTGAATTTGTCACATGATCAAGTTACACGTATCAGATTAAAAGACTACAGATCAAGGACAACATCACTACAAGGCGTTAACATTTCCAACTGGCAAGGTTTATTACCAAGCAGCAAAACACAAGCACTCAGAAACTAAATAAAAGTGAGAGAAATTAGCATGATAAGCTCGTTAGTAGATTTGAACTTATTTCCTTTAACCGAAATAATAATGAACTAAAGAGGCTATGGTGGTCATCTTTGACAACTTAAGATTGATGTTGCCATGGCAACAGTATTCATTATCAAAGTAAAAAAACAAATAAACTTTAAAATGAATCGGATCAATGCACAATACATACATGGATGTGGTTACCAAAACCGTACATGTATCATGAAATGGCCAAGTAATGCTGATATTTTTTCTTTTCTTTTCTAATTTTTCAGTATCTATTAATTAAGAAAAACATTTTGACATTAAAATTGTTACCATGGCAATATGTACAATATGGTGACACTGCTCGACCTGCTGTATTTTTGTCCAATCTTTTAAATATCATTAATTTCAAATAATGGGTTTACTTCAAACAAGATCAAAAACAGAAAACAGTTGTCTTGTATTTACAATGGAACCTTCTTAAGTCTGGACACAATTCATTCACCCCTGAACTTTCATAATGAACTATTCCCAACCTTTGAATTGGAAGAGTTCAAATGTGTCTTCAGGGGTGAGTGAGTTAATTTCTGAGAGAATACATTAAGGGTATACCTTGCAGGTTATACCTCTAATTTATGCTAGAGTGGTCTCCCTTTTGACTACATAATCTAGTAAATCAGAATTATTAGGATTTTTATCAATTTGTGCATTCTTGCAGTTGTGTACCTTTATGTTAAATGTATCATCAATTCAGAATGAGACTGTATGGAATTCTTTTGGAATGAAGGTGCATTTCATAATACATCAAGGTAACCTTTAGCTATAGCCTTAATTCTTTCACCCCAATGTAACTTTAGTAGACTCTACCATGCATAGATCTGGATGAGTCCATTATGGTCTACAGTGGTGAAAGGGTTAATTATGTTACACCTTCTATGTGCAATTTTAACTGCAAGCAGTTGTCTGTCAAAGAAGAACCTTAAGTCATTTATATTCTTCAACCTGATTACAGAGACAGAACTAACAAGGTTCCAATGTATTTTGTGAAAACAATTAATGTTGACCAGTGTCACCAGTCCCGCTTTAGTTGGAGAGATTGACCCTTGACCTCGACCCACATTCAGTTACTGACTACAGTACTATACACTTACAACCTTGGTCTCTACCATGTCTGAAGTCGAGAACTCGCCCTGACAACAACAGGGTCAAGGTCACAGTTAAAAATAAACACATCACAACAGCAAGAGAAATCAATGTCGAACAGAAATCGATACGAAAAGAAAATTAATGAGAAAATGGTCCGGTTTACAGCTATTTCTGTTAGTACAACATTCAAGGTCACAGTGTGTGATTTGGCAGAAAAAGAGCTGGCGAAGATACCAGAATTATTTTTCAGCGATGATGATACTCAGTTATCACTCTACACTAACACAGCATAGTCCACAGCCTAATGTAGAGGTTTAATTCGTTTATTCTAAACATTCCACTTAATGAGTAATTTTTTTAACAAAAGTTAAATCGTTATTCAAACGTAAAGCATTAGACAATCGTTAACTAATGTTAGCTATCTCTATCACTGTACCCACAAGTATTTAAGGAGTCGGAAAAGAAAGTTAAGTAACATGTATTAGCCCATTCACCCCTAAAACCACATCTGAACCTTACCAATCAAAGACTGGGCAAGTCCAGTATAAGTATGTAGGGGTGAAGGAGTTAAAGATATGCTGAAATCAAGTTGGAAAATGAAAACAAAAGTCTTCTTCTATGACAATATATTATTCTGGTTTTCAAATTACTGTAAATCACTAAGGTTTTGTAAACAATTATTTTGGCCATCAGACTTGAAGCCATTTACTCAGAATGCTTTCAATTTTGAGGGGGAAATACCCAATAAATACATAAAAATACATAAAAATGAAAATTAGCATTAATGTATTAGATTAAATTGCTGGATAAACTTTTTTTTAAATGTGTTCTGCACTCATCACGAATAACCACGAACCTGATTTACAGTAAAACTCATAAATACCGAAAAAAATTACACTAGGAAATTACGCAGAGGGAGGGATGTCATAATATACACACGAAATTTCAGCTACGACAAACATACCTTTTTGTTTTGGTAATAAATATAAACCCTGCCGGTGTCGTATGATTTCGTGGAACTGTAGTCAGAGTAAAATGGGGCGCCAACAACGATGTCATCTAGTCTGAAATGTATGAAATGTTATGATTAATTCTGTATCAATTTTTTTCTAGAATAACTCTTAAGATTATTTTCATATAGTCTCTAATTTGTAACTGTAAAGTTCATCGGTATTAAACAAAAACATGCATAGGAAGGGGGGGTGGGGGGTAAATCTGTAAAAATAATCAAATTGCAGTAAAGATAAAGAGATATTATATGAACACAGCACTGATTCAAACACAGAAAATATTTGTTTAATTTACTTACAAACTCACAAGTGTTTATTGTCTTTTTGTTCATTCATTATTAACATAATTGAAATATAAATGGAGACAGGATCTGTAGAACAAGGGAAGTAACTCTACCAAGTAACTGACCAGCAGTAAAGAAACACCATGATTCAAACTAAGGAAATGTTTGAAATGATCCTTTTTATTATACATATGTGGTGTGTATCCATGAATACCTGTATGATACCTGTATCATACAGAAACTTATATAACCTTCCACAAGGTCACTGATCTGTGTTAATGTGTTAATCAAACCAGAAGCTATATGTAATCAACAGATATGTAGCATTGTGACCTTATATAATACCAAACAAATACCTTACCTCAGTGGGCGGATCCAGAGGGGTTTTTTAGGGCTTCAGGAAACCCCCACCCTGAGAATTTTCTTTAAAAATCATGTATTTTCACCATTTTCCTCAAAATATTCTCACATGGAAACCCTGTCTGGAAATTTGGAACCCCCCACCAGATAGGTCTCTGGATCCACCACTGTAACCTATAGTAAAATTGGTCCCCTGTGGTGTTCAGTAAAAAATAAATCAATTGATGTAAAACATTTTTGAACTGTAAGACAAGTTGTAAACCTGTTTTCAGAAATGAGGATGAGCATTGCTTCAACAGGCCTCTGTTTTTATCTTCAGGCCCTTGTACCTCATCCCAACTTCTGCTGCCTTGTTGGGTAATTGATTCAATTAACCCTTTCACCACTGCAGACCATAATGGACTCATCCAGATAAACGTATGGTAGAGTCTTCTAATGTTAGCTAGGGGTGGAAGGGTTGAACAAATGATATTAATCCGACTTACTTGTTACCATCTAGATCCTCTACCGCAACTGCATACCCAAAATATGCTCCAACCTATAAATAAATAAAGCTGGGGTCAACACAGTATGCCACAATCTGTGAACGAAACGAAAATGTGTCAACAGTGTACATTCCAATGTAGACATCGAAGATATCAACAAAGTACACCCCAATGATACCAACAGACCGAGTATCTGTCAGCAGAGAACACCCCAATGATACCAACAGACTGAGTATCTGTCAGCAGAGTACGCCCCAATGATACCAACAGACCGAGTATCTGTCAACAAAGTACACCCCAATGATACCACCAGACCGAGTATCTGTCAGCAGAGTACACCCCAACGATACCAACAGACCGAGTATCTGTCAGCAGAGCACACCCCAATGATACCAACAGACCGAGAATCTGTCAGCAGAGTACACCCCAATGATACCAACGGACCGAGTATCTGTCGGCAGAGTACACCCCAATGATACCAACAGACCGCGTATCTGTCAGCAGAGTACACCCCAATGATACCAACAGACCGCGTATCTGTCAGCAGAGTACACCCCAATGATACCAACAGACTGAGTATCTAACAGCAGAGTATACCCTAATGATACCAACAGACCGAGTATCCGTCAGCAGAGTACACCCCAATGATACCAACAGACCGAGTATCTGTCAGCAGAGTACCCCCCAATGATACCAACAAACCGAGTATCTGTCAGCAGAGTACACCCCAATGGTACCAACAGACCGAGTATCTGTCAGCAGAGCACACCCCAATGATACCAACAGCCCGAGTATCTGTCAGCAGAGTACACCACAATGATACCAACAGACTGAGTATCTAACAGCAGAGTATACCCCAATGATACCAACAGACCGAGTACCTGTCAGCAGAGCACACCCCAATGATACCAACAGCCCGAGTATCTGTCAGCAGAGTACACCCAAATGATACCAACAGACCGAGAATCTGTCAGCAGAGTACACCCCAATGATCCCAACAGACCGAGTATCTGTCAGCAGAGCACACCCCAATGATACCAACAGCCCGAGTATCTGTCAGCAGAGTACACCCCAATGGTACCAACAGACCGAGTATCTGTCAGCAGAGTACCCCCCAATGATACCAACAGACCGAGTATCTGTCAGCAGAGGACACCCCAATGATACCAACAGACCGAGTACCTGTCAGCAGAGAACACCCCAATGATACCAACAGACAGAGTATCTGTCAGCAGAGAACACCCCAATGATACCAACAGACTGAGTATCTGTCAGCAGAGTACGCCCCAATGATCCCAACAGACCGAGTATCTGTCAGCAGAGTACCCCCCAATGATACCAACAGACCGAGTACCTGTCAGCAGAGGACACCCCAATGATACCAACAAACCGAGTATCTGTCAGCAGAGTACACCCAAATGATACCAACAGACCGAGTACCTGTCAGCAGAGCACACCCCAATGATACCAACAGACAGAGTATCTGTCAGCAGAGTACACCCCAATGATACCAACAGACCGAGTACCTGTCAGCAGAGTACACCCCAATGATACCAACAGACAGAGTACGCCCAAGCCTATAGGTGTCAACAAGGTATGCCTCAATCAGTTCAAATTAAAAAAGGATGAGAATGTGTCAACAAAGCATGCCCCAATCTGTTAAAAAAAAAAAAAAATGCATCAATCAAGTATGCTCCAATAAGAAAGTGAATATCTGTCACAAAGTACGCCCCAACCTACAGGTGTCAAAATATACCCCAACCAACAGACGGATAAGCCATGTGTCAGCAAAGTACGCCCCAACCTACAGGTGTCAAAAAACACCCAACCAACAAACGGATAAGCCATGTGGCAGCAAAGTACGCCCCAACCTACAAGTGTCAAAAAACACCCAACCAACAGACGGATAGAGCATGTGTCAGCAAAGTACGCCCCAACCTACAGGTGTCAAAAAACACCCAACCAACAGACGGATAGAGCATGTGTCAGCAAAGTACACCCCAACCTACAGGTGTCAAAAAACACCCAACCAACAGATGGATAGAGCATGTGTCAGCAAAGTACGCCCCAACCTACAGGTGTCAAAAAACACCCAACCAACAAACGGATAGAGCATGTGTCAACAAAGCGAGCCCCAACCTACAAACAGTAAGTACGTGCATGTGTCAAGAAAGTAGGACTGAACCTATAAACAGACATGATTAGAGTATGTCTAGGTCTACACACAGAACATTCCTCAACGGAGAGGAAACCTAATACTCCTTGACCCATAAATGGATTGTAGAGTGGAAGATACAATTAGATACCAGGAAAACCTATTGAATAAACCTGTCAATGCAATAAAGATGTTGGAAATGGAAATGGCACTTTTATCTTCATTAGTGTTTGGCGTTAAATCTAAGGGTCAAACAAAACCCATAGAATTGTCTGTGAGAGGTCTACATAACAACTGTTTTACGGTAAACTAACCCTGTTTGGCCAGTTCAGGAAAACACATTCAGGGGTGTTCAATTTTGTTCTTCACAAAATAATAAATTTGAATACTCCTATCCTAAAAGCCCACCACCCCACCCTACCCCACCCATCCCACCCCCAAGTCAATTTATTATTTTGTGAAGAACAAAATTGAACACCCCTGATTTCATTTCTATGAGAAAAACAATGAGAACTTTTCCCAACATAAGATGTCACAAAAAAAAAAATGAAATGAGTTTAAAAGAAAAATTGAAATCCCATTTTCTATTAATCAATTAATACATTGTTTTTTTAACTTTGAAGTGAGAACTGCCCTTTTTCTTAGGCACACTTTTAATATATTAAGTGGTTTTTAAGATGCATGGTACAGCTTCTTAAGTTAATACTGACAAAATGGAAGTTGTAATGCGACAGACATGAAAATATTAACTTTCCAGTGTTTTTATAACTTCTCTAAAAATATAATCATTTCATTCTACAAAAAGTTTGTGTAAATAAAACCTAATCTAAAATATGTGTAGGTCACAGGGGAGATTCTTGTAGACATTGAAGTAGGTATACTGCAATGCTGATATAAGTTGATATGACACTGCTTCATCCCAAATTATAAACAAACAAGTTATCCATCTCTCGATCAGACAAGAGTATGTATCAGCTTTACCTATTTCAAAGTCATCAGTCTGTTTGAACTGATGTTAAATCATCTGTCAGCTCTACTCAATGTAAAGGTCATCTGTCAACTCCACCTGATGTCAAGGTTATCTGTCAGCTCCATCGGATGCCAAGGCCATCTGTTAGCTCCAAGTGATGTCAAGGTCATCTGTTAACATCACATGATGTCAAGGTAATCTTTAAGCTCCATCTGATGCCAAGGTCATCTGTCAGCTCCAAGTGATGTCAAGGTCATCTGTTAGCATCACATGAGGTCAAGGTAATCTGTCAGCTCCATCTGATGCCAAGGTCATCTGTCAGCGTCACATGATGTCAAGGTCATTTGTCAGCGTCACATGATGTCAAGGTCATTTGTCAGCATCACATGATGTCAAGGTCATTTGTCAACTCCATCAAATGTCAAGGTAATCTGTCAGCGTCACATGATGTGAAGGTACTCTGTCAGCTCCATCTGATGCCAAGGTAATCTGTCAGCGTCACATGATGTCAAGGTCATTTGTCAGCTCCATCAAATGTCAAGGTAATCTGTCAGTGTCACATGATGTCAAGGTCACCTGTTAACTCCACCTGATGTCAAGGTCATCTGTTAACTCTGACTAATGTCGAGGTCACCTTTAAGGTCTATGTGATGTCAAGGTCATCTGTCAGCTCCACTTGATATCAACGTCATCTGTCAGCTCGATCAGATGTCAAGGTCATCTGTCAGCTCGATCAGATGTCAAGGTCATCTGTCAGCTCCATCTGATGTCAATGGTACTGTCAGCTTTCAGTAAAATTAAAATAAGTAGGTTTTCTAAGCTTTATAAACTCTGTTTTACAACAATAAACAGCTGATCATAGAGTAATCCTACAAAAGGCAGAAACCTGAGTAATAAAATAATTGTAAGAGAATGTACTGAGAAGACAACATGTTTATCATTAGAATTTGTTTTCCCCATATAATTGATCAAACTTCAATGACAGTATGTTATTGCTTTATTTGTTTTGCCTATGTGACTGAGAACGGTTTTAATGTGCTACAGTAGACAGTATATGTTTTAACAGCTGCCTGAGTGTATCTACAGATCAAGAGATTACCAGGCCCTAAGTTTGTATCAATCAAGCATTCCATCGTAAAGCAATTTAAGGGAAAATACTACAGAAGCCAACATTTATTGTACTCAGCTGGAAAGGAGGAAGGTTTATTTCAAGAAATGAATGATATTTCCTGAGAATGAATTCTAAAGAAAATATTTTTCACTGAGGGAAACAAATCTTCACATCTCCCTTGGACCAAGGCAGTAAGTTGTATATCATACAGAAAAAAAGGATAAACAACTTACAAAGAGATATTTATCATTTATCACATTACAGCTTAATTCTGTTGATAAAGATATCACACAATGTTTCTCCAAAGGGCTTTATTCTGCACACATCAAAATTTAAAGCGTGTCTCTGAATGAGGACACATACTACTGAGAGATTTAATGCTCTAGCTATAGTAACTGCTGGGAGATATGCTATTTTGTTTCCTAGTCAGGTTATATATTTGAACAAATGAGACAAAAACAAATTTACCTCTTGTTTCGTTAAAAACAATCGGTATATAAATGGCCTTTTAACGCATAAGCCAGCATTTCTGAATGGCAGTAACTTTTACAGCATTGGCAGAAAAAATTACAAGCTTTCGACAAATACAGCTACCAAGTAAGGCCTTGACAGTGTTGTCCTTGAAATTTTATAGACTATTTGCTAAGGTGCCAAAGAGTTGGGAGATGGTAATAAAGCGTTTCATTGCAACCATTAGTTACCGCAATAAGTGTTAAGGTGGGTTATACTAAACCACTATTTATATGGTTATATCCTCCTGTTACCCTCGTTGACATTCTAACCACCATCATCTTACTTTTATTACCTACATTATATT